ATGCATTGCTTCAGGGCCAGGAGCTCTTATCTGTGGCTCGAGGTTTTAGTGGGCTGAGTGCCTCTACATGGTTGGTATTTCTTAAGAAGACTGAATTGTGAAAACAGCTTGAGGTGACCACATTTCCTCCTCTACAGAAGTGCCTCACCTCCTGTAACTGTTACACCTTCTGCAGTTTTGTGTGAGTGTGGGCAGGGGTTCCTCTAGACCAATGGTCCTCAGCCTTCCAGTGCTGTGACCCGTTAATACAGTTCCTCGTTGTCGTGACCCCCAACCATAAAGTTATTTTCGTTGCTACTTTGTAGCTAATTTTGCTACTATTATGAATTGTAATGTAAACATCTGCTATACAGGATCCTGACCCACAGCCATCGTGACTCACAGCTCTCGACTTTAGGCTACAAGGAGGCCTGGGGTGGAGCACAGACTGGAACTAGCACCACAATAGTCATGTGCCATCTTTTAATGCCACAGTCCTGTGCAGTGATCACAGTTGTGTGTACTGCCGTTTGTGAAATGCTCAGAATACCATGCATCTTTCACATATGAGCCGTGGTAATCGTGTTGTCTCTGAGAGGCTGCGTCACTGTGATTCAGCACACCTCAGGGTCCCTTCTGAGAAACAAGATGTTCTCAGAGCCAGGATCTTTGGAAGTCAGGCTGTGGGAGAGAGAACATGGGGGACATGATATGTGGAGTGAAAATTCAGCTCTGTGTGGCTGCTCAGGAGAGAGGATCTGAAAGGAAACTGGCCAGAATGGCCAGAGTTTGGTCCCATGGTGGCGTTCTGAACCTGGCTCTAGGTTTAAGTCTGTACAGGTGAAGACCGCTTGCTGTGACTATAAATGGCAGCTGTAGGTCAGGGATGAATGGGAGAGAAGAGTCTGGTGTACCCTGCTAATTCAGGGAACTTACCGTGAGTGTTAGCCCGTTGAGAACTGTGGAGGCCTGTGTCACCCCCTGCATCATTTCCTCACAGCCACTGTTGTTAGCCATCCAGCCAGCCGTGCTACCCATTTCACTTGAGTCTTTCCGCCGCCCAGTGTTAGTCACTTGCTGGTAGCAAGTCAGTCAGAGCCCCAGCTTTCAGGCTGTGTTCTTGGTGGAAATCATGGAAACTAGACCAGCCCTAGGTTAGGCACGCAGGCTGGTCCACCCTGGGGGCTCTCGGAACCCTGTGGCTGCTTGTCTCTCTGTGGGAACTACAGCCTCATGAAGATATACCCCTGTCCTTCTGACCACTCGCTCCTTCACAAAGTGGATTGAAACTCAGTGTGATGCCTTTTGGAGGCTGGAATTGTAGCTCCATGAAGCAATCACAAGAGCTTAAATCCTCATTAAGTGTATCTAGTCCTCCCCTACCTACCTGTGGTGATGCCAGTGCCTCACCCCCACACTGGAGTGGGGAGAATGGCCATCTTCGCCATGAGAAATATCTGGATCATGCATGATGCCCTTCGCTGTCTGTAGAGGTTTCTGGCAAGGTAAGAGCAGGAAGGGAGGGCACAGACTCACAGAGGCAGGACAGTTGAGTGTAGGCACTTTTGTGGGACAGCTGTGACAGGCAATGGGCATCACAGGGAAGCTAAAACTTTCCAAGTCACTGAAATCCAGGGGTTGCCTGAGAATAGACCCCTAGGAAGTGTAGATGTTGCAGTCTAAGCTCTCCAAGGTTTCATCAGCACTGGAAATGCCTAAAAAGAATGAAAGACACCTTCTGGGGCAAATGTCCTCTTCTCACTGCAGTTGCAAGACAAAGGCATGCTCAGAGCAGCCCCCAAGCCCTGTTCTTCCCTAGGCTCCCTGTATACTAACGTTACGGCATGCCCCTTGCTGTCCTTGTAGAGGCTTCCTGAAAGCTACTGTCAGGGCGCACACTGAAGAGAAGCCAGCAGCTCCACTTTTGGGTGAAGGGTTTTAAAGACCAAACCAAGCCAAAACAGCCAAAAGTAAACTGAAACTGCACTAACCTTAAAAATATACTGAGGTCTGGAGAGGTGACTCAACAGTTAAGAACACTTGCTTGGGTTCTTTCCCCAACACCCACATGCTAGTCTACAACCATCCATAACTCTAGTTCCAAGGGATCTCACACCCTTTTCTGATCTCCATGGGTACCAGGCATGTATATGATAAACATGTGCTCAAACATGCGAAAGCTAATAAGCAAATAAATAAATATGCATGCCTAGCTGGGAATGTGCTTCTTTTCCAGGTAAGGTGATAACTCTTAAAGATCATCTCTGCACAAGGCCCCAGTAGAAACCATTTCTGCAGCATGGACCCTTTGTGTCCCTGCCCCCTGCAGTTCCTCTAATGCCTTTCTTGGGGGGATAGTGGTTTGCTGCAAGCCCTGGGGTTTTCATGGTAATAGGTACTTTGCCACACCCAAGGGTGACAGCCCTTTCCACCTGAGGGGCCTCACCACCTCGCTGCCAGCCCACACAGGAAGGAGTGCTGCACCTGCTGACAGTAGCAGTGGGCACAACTGGTTGTTGTTTCCTGGCTATGCATAGAAGTGCCATGCTCTTACTCCGGTTGGGTCTGTGACAGGCCAGCCTTCAGGAAGGCTGCAGGACAGCTCTGCCTTTCTCTGAGGTAAAGAGTAGAACCTCCATCCCTGTGTGCCCATGGACTAACGCAGGTACCCACAGGTGGTAAGTGCCTGCTACATTTTGGCTGTCAGGTGAGAACAGTCTCTTCCTTGCTTCCTAGCCATGTGTGTTACTGCCAGGGTGGGTGACTCTTTTATCCCTGGCTCAGGTTTTTAGTGTCCTGACACAGTAACTAGAGACTGGCCTGAATTAGCGGTGCCTGAACTTTTTTCCTTTGCTTGTTAGATCCCCTTTCCAAATGAAATGTTGAGGGCAGCCAAAGTGTTTGTCCTCCTCTCCCTCGCACAGTCCCCAGGCATCTCCTGGAACCCTAAGACCCAGAGCAAAGGTCTGGCTACCAGGACTCCATGTATTCTGTGGTGACTGGGAGCTTGCCATGTTACCCTTCCTTAAAGAGTTCTCCTTTCAGATAACAGCTCTGTGTCATTGGTGCTGCTCCCTCAGTGCTTAGTGCTTAAAACATGATGACACATAGATAAGATGTGTGTTGTTCCCCCTGACAGCAGTCCCTTATTCCTGTCACACTCAAGGCACTTTTACAGGGCATTCTTGGAGCCTTTCCCACTGACGCTGACTGTAGTCAAGTTAGTGAGCTGCCTACCAAGTGAAGGAAAGCCTGTGAGAAGACATTCCCAACTAGGACGTCCGTCTCCAAGGGTTGTGGCTGCCCAGGATTCTTGGGCCCTGCTGTCTTGACCAGCTTTTTGTGGAGACCAGTCCTAAGCAGCCCTGGGGGATGCTGGTCCAATTAGAAACTAATTTTCTTCTTGGCTGTCAGTGGTTAACAGTTCTGTTCTAATTGTGTTTTCACATTAATATTGTGAGCACTTTATTTAAAAGACACGTAGTCAAAACTGATAATTATGAAATAGCATGAAGTTCTGTTTACAATCATTCTTCATTCTCAGACATTATCACTAAAAATATTCAAAATGTTTGGATTATTAGATTTGTTTCTTTAAACATGGTACAAAACAAGTGACAATATTATCTTCATGTTTATTAGATGGCTTCATCTGTTGCTGTTATTGCTATTTTATGACATTTTTTTATTTCCTACCCCTACCTGTTTTTCTAATTTTGAAACAATTAGCATGTTGCTTGAAGCAAATATTATTTAAGCTATAAATATTACTTTCAAGTAAATCTTGGACATTGTTATTTTAAGCTGGAATATCTCCAGAGGTTACATTTTTTTTGTTTGTTTGTTTGTTTACGAGACAGGGTTTCTCTGTTTTGGAGGCTGTCGGTCCAGCCCGGCCTCGAACTCACAGAGATCCGCCTGCCTCTGCCTCCCGAGTGCTGGGATTAAAGGCGTGCGCCACCAACGCCCGGCGAGGTTACATTTTTTAAAAATTGTTTTACTTTGCCAGCGATGGTGGCACACGCCTTTAATCCCAGCACTCGGGAGGCAGAGGCAGGCGGATCTCTGTGAGTTCGAGGCCGGGCTGGACCGATAGCCTCCGAAACAATACAGAGAAACCCTGTCTCGTAAAAACCAAAAAAAAAAAAAAAAAAAGAAAGAAAGAAAAATTGTTTTACTTTATTTATATGTAGAGTGTTTGGAGTATTTGGCAGAGAGAGAGAGAGAATGTGTGTGTGTGTGTGTGTGTTTGTGTGTGTGTGTGTGTGTGATGTTTGTAAATGCTCCGCATGACAGCAGTACCCTTAGAGGCCGGAAGAGGGCATCACATCTCCTGAGACTGGAATTATAGGCTGAGCTGCCACATACGTAGGTGTCAGGGAACTGAACTTGGATCCTCTACAAAAGCAGCCAGTGCTCTTAATCCCTAAGCCAGCTCTCCAGTGCTCAAAGCTTACATTTTAAATTAAAGTTTTGTACCGGAACCATGTTTAGGTGTCATTGCTTTTGCCTGTGAGTTTGCTGAGCTACTATACTGTGATAAAACTTAGTTTTTCACTGTCACAGTTTACAGATATTAGAAAACATGTTCATATCTGTAATCTCTCTGTTTTCCTAGAAGAAACAGAATAAATAGAGTGTACAAACTGATCTTTGCTTTACTATTTCAAATAACAGTTTAACCCTGGAAATTGTTCCTTATTAGTACAGATGAGTAGAGCCTGTCACACGGTTACTGATCTCAGAGACAAGAGGGGAATTCTAGTCTCTTCTCTCTCCCTGGACCAGCAGTTAATTTTGGTGGCCGCGAAACATGATGTAACCATTCTATGAGAAGTGTGGCTCTACTTCAGATGAAGATAGCTCACGAGCACAAAACCCACCCACAGACCGTGCATCAAAACGTGCTATCCCACACATGGCCAATGTTCTTGTGTAGTGTAGCAAGTCGGGGTTTGATCTGGGATGACAGGTTTCCTGAGAAAGTTTGGGGTAACTGACATTGTTTACCTTTCTTACAGATATAATTTCCCAGCACCCAAATCCTTCTGCGGAAAAAGCCAGAACTGTGCTCGCTGTGGAAGCTGCCCCTGGAGAGCTGGTGGGAGACCGAGCTGCTCGCCAGCCAGCCCCAGGGCATCCGAATTCCATTAACTTTTACTCTCTGAAGCAGTGGGGTAATGAGCTCAAGTGAGTCTTTGGGAAGTAGCATATGCTGCTGAAGATGGATTCTCTGGGATAATGAGTTATAATGTGGGCTCTATGTTTATATGTGGCATTACAAAGCCACTTTACATTTATGAAGGGTCTTCGTGTTCTGCAGCTCTTTCACATAGGTCATTTTTTAAAAGCTTTAAACTCTATGCCTGTTCTGTTTCTGGTGCCATGCCAAGAATCATCACTCGGCTTCTTCTGATTGCTTGACTGTGTGGTAGATCAGATGGCTGACATCTTACAGAGACTGAAACTAGCTGAAGGGGGGCGGGGCATTCTAAGATGACAAGGCTTCCAGATGCAGGGCTGGGTTTCTTGCCTCTCCAGCTTCACCCTGTTCCCAAATCTCAGGGTTGGCCCAGAGTCTCTGCTGTGGGTTTCTGTGTTCTGTCTGTTGTGGGTCAGTGAGAATGAAGGTGGGTTTTTGTTTGTTTCATTTGATTAGAAAGACCTTGTTGAGATATATATATAATTCGCCCATTTACAATATATTATTTTGTGGTTTTTCATATATCCAGAGTTGTGTAACAATTTTTAGAACATTTTTGTTATTGTCCATTTGTTTGTTTGTTTAGCATTGGTCTTGCTAAATGGCCAAGGCTAGTCTTGAACTTGCAACTTTCCTACTGTCCTAATTTCCCAAGTCTGGAATTAGAGGCATGTGTGAGCCTGACTCGATTTTAGAATATTTTCATCACCCCCAAAAGTTATGCAATCCTTTCCTGCCTCCCTTGCCTTCTTCCCTCCCTCGCCTCCCTCAGTCATAGGCAACCACTAATCTGCTTTCTGTCTGTGTGGATTTGTTTACTCTGAACCTTTCGTGTAAGGGGGATTGCACAATATGATTCCTTTGGTATGTGGCTTTCTTCACTTAGCATAATGTTTTCAAGACTTATCAAGGTAGTAGTATGTAAGTATCTCATTTTCTTTTAGGGCTAAATACTATCCCCCTTGTATATGATCCTAGTTCCATTTCCTGTTGGCTGCGGTAAAGCGCTCTGACAAAAGCGACTTTATTTACTCGGCTTCCAATTCCAGGTTGTGCTCCAAAATTGTGAGGAAGTGAAGGCGGCAAGAACCTGAGACAGCTAGGCAAATCCAGACGAGAGCAGAGAGGAAGGAATTCGTGCGTGTTGTGCTCCTCACTTTCTCCTCTTAGATATAGTCCAGGACCCACTCAGCTCTTCCCACATCAATTAATGTCATCGAGAGTCCCCTTACCTACCGAGCCATCTCCCCAGCCCCAGCTCTGTTTGATCCTAGCCATCCTACTAGTGTGAGCCGCCTCTTGTCCTGTTGTGGAATTGGTTTCTGCGATGACGGACAGCATTGAGCATCTTTTCCCACATGGCCATTTGTGCATCCGCTTTGGAGCAGCATTGTGTTGGACCTGTTCAGATCCTTTGCCATTTTAAATAGTGCCGGCTTGTTATTATTGAGTTGTATGTGTTATTTGACTGGAGGATATTCATTGATGTTAGCAGCAACACGCTGCACAGAATCTTAGAAGTGGCTTGTTAGAAATGGGAGTTAGTAGGACAGTTCCTACTCTGGGCATTTGTGGAGCACCTAGAAGCTTTCTGCTCTACTGTAGGGCCCATGTCTTGCCAGGCAGCTGTGCTCCAGCAGTCCACTGGATATTCAGAATGCCCTAGAAGCCACCACCCAAGGCTTCACTGCTTCTTCCCGTATCTCTTTCTATATATGCCTTTGTGGTTGGTTACATGGAACAAAGTCATTTTTGTGTGTGTCTTCTGTTCTTCAGGCATGACTTTGTATTGGAACTGAGTAGACTGTGGTGGGGTCTCCAGGCCTCAGAAGACCAGCACTTAAAAAAGAGATCACTATGAGACCCTGGCCTCTCTGCCTCTGGCCTGGACAGTGGTCCTGCCCTCCTGGTTCTGCTCTACTCCGTTCTATCCACGCTCTGCCCCTCTTGCCTCTGACTACATGCTGGCCCTGCACCAAACAGTTATGGGTAACAACTGCACCACACCTCTTCATTTGACACTTGAGGTTTTCAGCAGTGTGACTCTAGTCTGTCTCTTGGGTAACTATTTTCCAAAACTCTCATTGTCTGGGTCTCTGCCAGCCATTTGCTTCTTTCCTCTCCGCCTGAGAGCCTCTGCCTCACCGTGTACCTATCTGTCTAGCTGGGACCCCAACCCATTATCTCCCAACCCCCAAGGGAAGGAGGTGGAGGAGGTAAGGGCGGGCCGGCTCCCCAGGTCCCGTACCATATAGCACTTCTCAGTAAAGAAAGCGTTCTGTGTTCCTAAAAGTGTCAGGAAACCGCAGAGACTCTTGCTTCATTTTTCAGGTTAAAAAGCTAAGGTTTAGGGAATTAAAGTGACTTGTTCAAGACTGTGTTACAGGAGTGTGTGATACAACTGAAAGGCACACCCAGCTCCCTTTAATTCATATTCCTTCCACTCTTCAACATAGCATATCTGGGAGCCGGGCACAATGGTATATACCTACAATGGCCAACCCGGGTTGCCTGGCGCCATAGAGTATCAATAAAATAACAAGAATGTATATGAAGGACTGTTAATTAGCCAGGTGTTTATACTTGTGCAATCCCATCTGCCCTCAGAGTCAGACGGTAGAACGAGGTGAAAACAGGCCTGTAGTATTAGGTACTTCCCATTTCCTTGAGCGTTGAACATCTCTGCCTGGAAAAGAGAACACAAGTCATTTTTTTGTATGTGACAACTCTCAAAGCAAGTTTGGAGTTAATGTCAGTGGGAATAATGCCAATTGTGCGCTGTTGTAGTATTGCATGGTGTAAGAGTCAGACTCCTTGAGAGGATTCTCAGCTGTGTCACTTCATAATCGGCTGTCTCAAGCAAGTTCCTTACCATTCTGTGCCTGTGTTTCTCATTTGTAAGTAATTATGCATGCCACATGGGATGGACTGGATGATAATAATATGAACAAACACTATGGAACAGAGCCTGGGATTCTGTTTTAAGGAAAGTGAATGTCACCATGTTGGGTCTTGTGACAAAGCCCTCTCTGTGGAATTCCACAGACTGCTCTTTGCAGAAGCAAGATGTTCACAGAAATGGGATGCTCAGACAGATCTCAAGTGTTTGTTTTTTTCTTTTCTTTTGACTTATAGACATACTTTAGGAATTTAAAATTATCAGGGTGAGTGGAGAACCTTTGTTTATAGCTCCAGGGATCAGAACATGCTAAGCAAGCTTGTGTCCTCTGAGCTACAACCCCAATCTGGAGAGAGCTTAATGACCTTAAAACAGTAAAGCTATTTTTCCCTAAAAGGAATGGCTTAAACATTGTATTTTTGTAATGGATTCAAACTGGTGCTAAACTTGATTGTGACCAGGATTTGAGGACACCATGTACTTGTGCGTGCATTTATCGTACTCATCAGTTCAGTTGGGGCCTTGTTTAAGTCTCGCCTGGTGAACTGAGAATTTAAATTCCACACTGCTGTACAAGACTTGAGGGCCCATGCTCTGCTCCCACAACTCAGATGCTGTTTTAGTTACTGTTCAGTTGTTATGACAGTACCATGACCAAGGCAACTTAGAAAAGAAAATGTTTGATTTGGAACTTATAGTTGTAGACAGAGCCCCCATCATAATGGGAGCTTGACGGCAGGCAGGCAGGCAGGCAAACATGGCACTAGAGCAGTAGCTAGGAGCTTGCATCCCTGTCTCCAAGTTGAAAGTAGGAGATCTAACTGGGAATGACCTGGGCTTCTGAAACTTGAGAGCCCATCCCCAGTGACACACCTCTTCCAATAAGACCATGCCTCTAATCCTTCCCAAAGAGTTCCACTAACTGGGGATTAAATATTCCAATATCTGAAGGGCATTCTCCTTCAAACCACCACAGATGCTTATTGTCTTATGTGATTGAATCACTTAGTAATCCCTTAAAATATAGGTATATTTTCTATTAAAAATAAATTAGATGCTTAGGGAGGAAATTGATAAAGGTGATCATGCCACTAGAATATTGTTGTGAGGAAAAGGGGGGAAAATTTTTTGTTAAAAGCCTGTAAGATTCTAGGCTACGTTGTAAGTGTATGTGTTTATTCCATTAAGAGCAGCAGCAGCAGCAAAACACGATTGGAAAAGTCAGGTGACATCTTACAAGTATGGCTTATCCAAGCAGGGCAGACTGCAGCCAGTAGCCCTGGCAAGCGAGTCACTCCTGCATATGCACCTCTGCTGGAGGTGTAGTTACTTTTACTTGGTTTCCTACTTTAATGATTTTCTCATTTAGCCTGCCCCCACCCCATCCAGATCACACCAGGTAATGGAGCTAGACGCCATCCGAAATTGCAGGTGGTATGTATGAATAATCACTGCCTCATGGAGTCTGGCTGGTTGTTAGTGCTCAGCCAGTGTGGCTAGAGAATGCAGTGCTGCAGGCAGTGCTCTGACTCTTTGGGGCCTTAAACATAGTGGGTCTTCCTTTCATATCAGGAGAACCCCTTCCGCCATGCAACGGAAGGCTGAGCTTGCCTGGAAGGTGAGCTCACCTTTCGCACTTGTCTCTGCTGGAACTTCTGCTGGCTCTGCTGCTGGCTGTGTCCTGAGTACTTTGTTTCTGCTTTTCTCATGACCCCTCAAGCCTGGCAGTAATGTCGAATCCGTTGATTTTGTCATCTAGGACTTTGCCTGGTGACTCATCTTTTTCAGAACCCCATTTCAAAGAGAAGGCCAAACCAGTGCCCAGATATCTGGTGCATTTGGGGAAGTTGTTCATGTCTGTGGCTATGTGGTCCTTGCTTATATTTTCCTTGTATTAAGCCATAGCTCAGTCTTTGCCATGAAATACAGGAATTGTTGTCTTGTTACTACCTTGTGGGTCTTTTCAGAACCTGCCCTTCTGGAAGGGAAGCAGAGGGATGGTGGCTGAAGAAGTTGGCCAGGGCATGAGTGTTGCTGTGTCAATACCCAGTCTCTCCTGGCAGCTTCCTGGAGCATATTGTTTGTACTTGGCCAGTCCTTCCCATCTTGATTGGAACCATGCACTTCCAGGGGTCTGTTCATTCGCAGGACTACTGGAGCTTTAGAGAATCATGGTTGTGACTTGCAGACCATGGCTGGGATGACATCTGACTCAGTACAGGAAACCATGCCAGTCTGTGCCTTACCTGAGGCCATCAAGCAGCTAACCCAAATCTCCTATTTTAGTTGGAGTCAGGGGCTATGGAAGGAGGAACACTTGGTGTCTTCTGCTGGGCCTGCTAGATCCACTTGTTGCAGGAGCCAAATTCTCAATAGCCTGGGTCCATTCATTCTGCTCTCTTAGCCTAGCAGAGGCTTCTCGTTGACTCAGATAACCAACATGACCTCTCCAACCCAAGATCCTGTAATCACAACAGCAGTTTCTTTCCTAAGATTTAGATGTGTACATCGTGGGCAGTGAGCATTATTTATGCCATCAGGATGGGATGGCACTTTCCCCTAGTTCCTACTTTGTCTCTCTCTAGCCTCCTCAGCGCTTCTCTGTCTCCTGTTGGAACACTGTGTATTGTGATGGGGTCGTTGGGTAGGCCCAGAGATGAAAGCACAGCCTGGGCCCTCGATCTTATTATACTCAGGATTTGGACCCTCTGGCCTAGATGAGCCCAGACTGCCTGGCTTGCTTGCTGCCACCCACCAGCTTCATCCAACCTGGCCTTTTTCTTAGTCATGTGATAGTGAAAGGCATGCATGCTTAGAAAGAAAGAGACCTGCACATGCTGAGGGGCTCAGAGCAAAAACTGAGGCCTTTCGAAGTCCACATTCCAGAAGTAGCTACTAGAAATGGAATTATGTATGTAAGCACTCTGGAATTTTCTCTGCTTGTTAAAAGAGACCCTGCAGTCTCTTTTAACACACTGTCTCGGTGCCTTAGTGTTCTAACTTTTCCCCTAGACTGCTCTCTCTCTGACAACCAAGTCATGAGGCCCACTTAACCAGAGCTGTGTTCCCCTGCAGACTGAGAGGCTTGGCAATGATGAGGCGTGGGTAATGGCTTCTTGGAGTCCAGTCACTGTATAGACTGGAATGGCCCAACTCAGTAGCTCTGTTGGGGCCCATTGTTCTACAGATTCAGGTGTATGATGTACCCTTTAGTTAACCTGTTCCCTACTTGTGGGTATCTGCCCATCAATTCAGAGGAAGAAATGTTGAATCACCTTCAGCGAGAGGGGACCTCCTGGATTTTTGTTTTTTTCTGAGCAGGGAAGAGAGCTGAGTAGTGCCCCTTGGGGTTACCTGCTTCCTGCTACCCCCAGCCTTCTATAAATCCAAACCTCCACCTTAGCCCATTTTTCACCACTGAAAAAGGTTGGGGTGCTGGCCACAGTGTGGCTGTGCAGGCAATATGCTAACTGTAGGCTCAGGAGAGATTTGATGGGACAATTCCAAATACTTCTCTCAACTTCTGACTTACTCAGTGAGTATTGAGTATATACTTACTGTGTTATTTGAATATCTTTAAATTATACTTATTTATTTGAGAAAGTGACACAGTGTGTTGCACAATAACGAATTGGGTTCCGCCAAGAGCACACTAGCCCAGAGTTTGGTTAAATAGTACTTCAGCTGAAAGAGACTTGACTTTGAAGCGAGTCTCATTTCTCTATTACCCAAGCCTTGGCAGTTGTCAAGCACTCCAAAGCTGTCCCTCAGCTGCAGGAGTTTGCGACAGCCTGGAAACAAACTCTGGCAGGGGAGGCAGAATCCATGGAAGTTAGTTCTTGAAACTGCCTTTCTTCCTGCCCAGGCTGGGTTTGGGTCTTCTCCGCTCTCATTTCCCCTTTTCGTGTGGACTTTACGAATAAGAGCGGCAGGCAGAGCTTGTTACTGGCAGTGAGCGCTGCACACCATTCGTCAAGAAAAGAACAACTGCACATTTTGAAGCTGTGGCAAGTGGCAAGGAGGTTTTTAATTCCTGAGATGGGTTGTGGGAGGGCAGGAAACAAGGAGTTCTGGGCCTGGAAAATGTCACCAAACTGTTGGGGCAGCATCACAGGTTCTAGAAATGTGCAAGGATAGAAGAAACATTTGTGGGACTTCCTCAACTATTTTGAAATCATTTTTTTTACAGTTTCAGGGTGTTGTGAAGGCAGAGTTGACCGTGACAGTAGTGTGATCATTAGGTTCCCTTGGTTGTTGACAGAGCCTCTCTGTGTATAGAGCCAGGGACCAGAAGAGATTAGGCTTGGGTAACATGCAACATGCTTACTATGTATTTACCTCTGGTCTCAGTCCTTAGTAGGTGAGAAATCAGCTGCCAGGTCTTAGACAGTGTAATCACCAGGTCTTAGGGACTCTGTCTTAAAACTCTGTGTGTGTGTGTGTGTGTGTGTGTGTGTGTGTGTGTGTGTGTGTGTGTGTGTGTGTGTTTTGCCTACATGTATATCTGTGTACCACATGGATGCCTAGTGCCTGTGGAGGCCAGAAGTGGTTGTGTGCCTTGTAACTAAGAGTTATATATGGTGGTGAGCTGCCATGTGTTTGCTGGGAACCAAACCAGGGTCATCTGTAAGAGCAGCAAGTGCTCTTAGCCACTGAGCTACCTCTCCAAGCCTAGTGTTTTCTTTTTAAGCACTTATTAGCCATTCATAGACAGATGTTTCTGGGCTCAGAATGGGTTATATGATTGGGCTGTGTCCTAGTAAGTCTAACGGAAATTGAAAATGCTGAAAGGCAAGCATGCATTGTGTATGCCTAGCCCAGCAAATGTTGTGACTTATCTGCATGTACTCTGTGGAGTACCTGTTGTGTACCCTTGAATCATGTGGCTCACTAGAAGCCACTCCTGGCTTGAGAGCATCTTACTGCATATCACTAGCTCAGGAAAAATCAAGCTTCAAAGTATGGTTTACAGTGAATGTATATTGCTTTGGAACGATCATTAAGTTTAAAGAAAAATCTTAAACCCAACTTTACAAGTTAGGAAACTGCCTGTGTTTTTCTTTTTTAATTTGCTTTTCTCATCTCTTGGTCATTTTTAAATTAAGTTGCTTATCCATCTTATTGAGCTTTAAGGGTTCTTAAATAGTCTGGATATGAGACTTTTGTCAGGTATATATCTTGCAAATACCTTCAAAGGAGAAACATTATAATAAACTTGATTTTTCTCATTTTGTCTTTTAGATTGTGCTTTTTGGGTGCTCTTTAGACATCTGTCCAACTTGGGGCTACCGAGGTGGCTTAGTCAGGAAATAAACTTGACCTGAGTTTGGACCCATGTAAAAACCAGATGTTGCCTGTAATCCCAGCACTGTGGATGTGGAGACAGGCAGATTCTGGAGTTCCTTGGCTAGCCTAGCCAAATGGGTGAGCCTCAGGTTCAGAGAGAAACCCTGTCTCAAAAACTAAGCTGGACAGTAATTAGAAAAACAACTGAGGTCGACCTTTGGTCTACATGTGCACGTGTGCATATACACAAACATGTATATGCACATGCTTACAGAAAAGGAAAAAAATCTTCCAACAGTGTGAAAAGTACTTTTTCCTCTCTAGAAGTTTTATGTTGTTGCTTATATCTTTATGTTGGGGCGTATATTTAGATCCTTTGGGGGCTTGTTTTATTTTGGTTTGGGTTGAGAGGGGTTGTTTTTGTTCTGAGACACGATCTCACTGTTTAGCCCAGGCTGGCCTGGAACTTATGATCCTGCTGCCTCAGTCTCCTGAGGGCTGGGATTACAGGAGTGATCCACAACAACCTGCGTCTATTGTGTATTTTGAATTAATTTGTATGTGTGGTACAAGGTAAGGTTCAAGTTCATTTTTTTCATATATATAGCCAGTTTTTATAACCACATTTCCCCCATGAATCTTTTTACATCCTTGTTGAAGGTCAATTCACCTTAAGTATGAGGAGTGGCTAACATGAATAATGCATTGTATGTTTTAGTGTCTCCCTGTATTTGTGTGCAGGGATTTCATTTAGAAAATGTTGGCGCTTTAGAAAGGCAGTTTCATAAAATTAAATTTGTTGGTGAAAGTATAAAATCCAATGTGAGGCTCCACACTTCAAAATAGTGAATCTAACTGTACAGAAATTCATTAAGATGGGTAGACTTTGGATCTGGCTAATTATGGTGTGTGACTTTTCTATTTAAATAAAGTTTTTTGTTGTTGTGTTTTTTTAAGAAAAAGAAAGGTTCTTCTTCAGTTTAACTTGGCTCTCCATGTTGAGTTGTTCTCCATGATACTACTGTCAGTGTGGATTCACTAGCAATGTATATTTCCTTGTTTTCCATATTCTCAACAGCACTTGATATTATCGAGTCTTCATTTTTATCTGTCCTATATACAATTGTGTCTCGTTTTGCCTTTTCTTGTTTTTAAACAGAAATTCAATGTCCTCCTTCCGTCCTGGGAGAGGGCAAAGTGAGAGTCGCAGGACTGTGTTTTACACCAATGAAGAGTGGGAACTTTTAGACCCACCTCCTAAGGACCTAGAGGAGTCTCTGATACAGGAAGAAAGGAAGAAGCAGATGCCTGAGGGGAGCAAAGGTACAGCATGCGCCTGTGCTCTGCTGCTCTCTGTGCTGCTGCCTGTCACCTCCAGGGTCACAATAGACAAAGAGTGGCAGAGTTCCTGGAAGCATGAAGTGCTGTGAGAAGTGTGTTATGGTCAGGGGCAGGGTCAATAAATCATGAAGGTTTATAAAGTGCTACAAGGAATAAATGAACATCTATCCCAGTGTCTGTGAGCCATTCCAGGAGACAGAATACCTGTCATGCCTCTACACATCACAGAAATGCTGACTGAAGAAACTTTGTACTTAAGCCAGGCATTGTCACTGTCACACACCTGTACTTCTGGGGCCTGGAAAGCTGAAGCAGGGGGATTGCACATTTAAGGGCAGACTGAGCTATGTAGCAAGACTGCCTCAGAAACTCTCTCTCTCTCTCTCTCTCTCTCTCTCCCCCTCTCTCACAGACACATACACACACACACACACACAGGCACACATGTCGTCTTTATTTACATACTTGAGATGTACCTAAAAAGAACAGAACATAGTATCGTAGATTCTGGAGAACTGTTTAAATTAGTCATATTCCCATTACTGTAATACATACCTGAGGTAAACTTATTTATGTACAGAAAAGGTTTACTTTGGTTCACAGTTGTAGGGATTTTAGTCTATGACCAATTGAGCCCATTGCCTCCAGCCTGTGGAGGTGTATCATGATAGGAACATGAGCCCAGAAAGCAAAAAGACAGCAGGAGGCCTGGGGTGCCACTGTCCGGAAGACTTCACATTAACCCCGGTTTTCATCGCCTTCTGGGATCAACAAGCTGGTGACCTAAGGCATTAACAGACAGGCCTTGAGGAGACATGCTAGACCTGTGCAAGTCCCCAAGCCAGAAACACGCACCTCTGAGTTGTCATGGAGCAGGCACACTAGGTGCCAGATGCTGGTGCCCTCTTCCAGTCTCTGCCTGACCAACCACAGGGGGCCACTGTGTGCTTCTAACAGCGCAGATGCCTTTGTCTTTCATAGCTTTAAATAATCAAAAGTTCATAGTACTTTTGTGTGAATATACTTAATAACATTTATTTGGATCATTTACTATGTAAAGTCACACTTTAAAAATGTATTTACACTTTTTAAAAACACTCATTTTGCTTGTTGTTGACCGAAAACAAATGAGTAAAAATAAGAAGCCAACAATTGTCTAGTGTATCTCAGCTGTCTTTAAAGTGCTCGTGTTGCAGTCTTCTGTAAAGAGTGCTCCAGCATCCCCCATGGAGGGCCTCATCCTCCCTGGGGAATGGTGTGGGGATTGGGTGGGGGCTTGGGGGGGGCTGGTAGAGAGGGGCAAGGGAGGAGGAGTGGGAGAGGGAGCTGGGATCGACATGTGAAGCAAGTATGTTTCTAATTTAAATAAAAAATATATTGAGAAAAAATAAGCAAACAAATAAATAAATAAGAGTGCTCCAGCAAGGACTGTCCGCTGTTTTTAGACCTGTTGGGTACTCTCTACTATGAGGTGGGACAAAGTGACATCGGCTTCCCTGCTTTCTTCATGGGTTGAGGAGTCCACGCCCCCCTCAGAGGTGATCTGTAAGGATACCAGAAGAAGATTTGACTTCTCAGACACGTTTTTGTTTTTGTTTTTGTTTTTGTTTTTGTTTTTGTTTTTAATTAGGAGTCGCTAGTTCAGGATTCCCCTTCGAGTTTGGACGGAACCCTTACAAAGGAAAGCGCCCCTTGAGAGACATAATTGGATCATATAAAAATCGCCTCAGCAGTGGTGATCCTTCAGTTGAGGGAACATCACTGGGGGGTGGAAGCTTCCCTAAGCCCGTCTCTGAGATGCAGCTGCAGATTCAAAGCCAGCAGGAGGAACTGGAGCAACTCAAGAAGGACCTGTCCAGTCAGAAGGTAACTGTCTCTTGACTTCCGTGTGTCCCTTCAGCAGGCCAAAGCCATTCCCTGAAGCTTGTGCTGCTGGGGCCTCCATCCCATGCCCTGAGCCATGCCCATCATTAGTTCAAAGACCCTAGACCATGTGGAAGGAAAGCAAGATTTCAGGGTACCACTGTCGGCACCCACGCTCAGTCCCTCAGCCTAGAGGTCTCTGAAGTTTTCAAATCCTGTCAGACAGTACTATTTTTCTAAACTGGTCAGACATTCTTCCCCCTAATTGTTGGACAGTTCAGTTCAGCGAATCTTAAAGCCTGGATTTTTCTTCTCTTCCCCCCACCCAACTCTGCTTGATTTTATTTTTAATTGTAAGTGTGGGTATGTGAATGCAGGCACCCAAAGGTGTCAGATCCAGTGGGCCTCCCAATGTAGGTTCTGGGAGCAAAGCTGAGACCCTCTGCAAGAGCAGTATGTGCTCTTAACTGCTGAGTCGTCTTTCTAGCCACACACACACACACACACACACACACACACACACACACACACACACACACACACGTATTATTATTTTGAGGTGGCATCTCACTGAGTAGCCTAGGCTGGCCTGGAACAGTTGCTCCTCTTCCAGCACTGGAATCACAGGCATGTGCGGCACACGGCACTTCACACTGATAAACGTGTCAGGAACCTTTGCTAGCCACAGCATACACATCCTTTATTTCCAGCTTCCTCTCATTGTTCTCGTCAGGCTGGATTTGGGGAGGAATTTTTTTTCCTTTCTATTTTTGAGATCTTTCAAGAGGAAGTTCAGTACTAAAATGTTTCCAACGAAGTTCGTTTCTGCATTTCCTCAAATTCCAGTGATTACTTATGTAACACTGTTCTGATTTCTGTCTTTGACCCCCACCCCCTGGTTCTCTTACCCTTCACCTCATCATCTTCTTGGCTCCTAGGAGCTCATTCGGCTGCTCCAGCAGACAGTCCGGTCGTCCCAATATGACAAGTATTTTACGAGCCACCAAATCAGCCAGGGGGTCCCCAGGGACACACTGGAGCTTCTCCACCAAAAGGACGAGCAGATCCTGGGCCTCAGCGGCCAGCTAGAGAGGTTCGGCCTGGAGAAGGAGAGTCTGCAGCAGGAAGTGAGGACCCTGAAGAGCAAGGTGGGCGAGCTCAACGAGCGGCTGGGGATGCTGATGGAGACCATCCAGGCCAAGGACGAGGTCATCATCAAGCTCAGCGAGTGTGAGGGCAGCGTGTCTTCGCCCACCATGGGGCCCTGCTCTCCTTTGGCCACCCCAGCCGGCAGAGACCAGCTGGAGCTGGACAGGCTACAAGTAAGGACAGGGCGTGGGCTGGCCTTTTGGACAGAGATCTCAAACTCCTTCAGCTCCATCAGTTTTGATCCCTAGAGGTACTATTGTGGGCGAGCTGATTTGGTAAGGCCGCAGAGCTGGGGACGGGCACAGAAACAGGCTCTACAGTCAGCTTAAGGAACGAGACATTTTTAGGGACTTTCTTGAAAGCACTTCCTGCAGTTGCCTCTGATGCTGCTGCTTGCCCGGGACACTTTTGATTCTTCCTGTCCCTTGCTTAGGAGTATTTGAAACACCCTACCCTCTTATTTATCTCAGTGTCAGACTTCATCGAACATAAGGAGGCTGTCAGTTTCCCCTTTTGTGTACATGAGTGCAAACACAGACTTAATTTGCACAGCCGCCCTCAGGCCTGGGGAGGAATATTGTTCCAGTAGGGCCAGCTGGGAAAATGGACGCAGCTCCAGGCAGTCCAGAAAAGAAGCCTGTTTGGTCGGTCAGGTCAGTGCCTAACATGAGGAGTCCTGCACTTGGAAGGACAGAGCTGTCTTCCCAGTTCCGTCCCATCCCCCCCCCCCCCACTCCTCCCCACCTCACTCCACCCCCCCACCCCCGCCTCCAGAGATGGCTCAGGGATGAGAGGCTGGCTCCTGAACAGAAGGGAACTGGAATGAGAAGCAGCAGATGAGGGAGGGGGAGCACTCCCCCCTCTGGGAAGCAGGGCACCTGCCTCTTATGCCTGTAGAGAACCCTGCAGGTCCAGACCAGAGAGCTGAACTGTTTGGGCTGCTGAGGAAGGCTGTAGAAAAGCCCATCTTTGCTGTCAGCAGCTCCTGAGACTCTACTGGGGACGTTCTAGGTAGACAACCTTCCCCCGGGACATGGGTCATTAGGTAGAGCCCAGCTGACTCCAGCAGACCCCAAGTAGGTCTCTAACTACTCAGCCATTGTCTTCTTGCAAATAATGTGGTTCTCCGTGTTCGAGTTCCAAATGGAGATTCTCCTTGAAAGATCCAGGTGTGTTACTGTTGAGGTGGTTACAGTGTGTGGGTGTCATGGCTTCCAGCACCTTTAATCTGCCAGCTGTGAGCCCAGTGAGTGCCGGGAAGGCTGGGGACTTCAGAGTTAGGAACACTGAAACAGTGGCAGCATTGTTAGAACGTGTGGGTGGTCTGTCTAGTGACACAAAGGCCAGCATGGTTTATTTGTTTGGCGTGTGTGGCGTGTTGGGTGCACATGTCTGTGCAGGTCAACATGCACAGGTGTGCTCATGCCTGTGAGCTGGGCATGGATGCTCCTCCTCCAGGCCTCTCCACCTGAGTTTTTGAGAAGACTGAACCCAGGTCTTGCCAGTTGGCCTGGAAGCCCCAGAGATCCTCCTGTCTCCACACTCACTGCACTGGGCTAGAGAAACACCATCCTTCACACAGGCTTTTAGGTGGTGATGGAAATCCAGATGTAAGTGCTCCTACTTACAGACACTTTACTGCCTAAGCCCTCTCCACAGATCCCAGGAGGATTTACAGATGAGGAACCAAAACACCTCTTATATTTATATCTACTATAAAACAGCCCTTATTATTTTGTTTATATTTTTGAGACAAGGTATTGTTCTATAACTCAGGCTGACCCAGAACTCATTATAGCCCAGGTTTGCCTCAAACTCAAGGTAATTCTTTTGTGTCCATGTCCAGGGTGCTGTAATTGCCAGGTATGAGCTACCATGCTTGACTGCTTTTTGTTTGTCTCTGTTTTCTTTTTCTTTTTTACAAGAGGTCTTAGTGTTGCCTGTAGACGTCAGTTTTGTTTATATGCTCAACCTTAAATGTTGTATTCCTTCCTATGCATCTCTCTGCACAGTAGTCACACACTTAGTGTCTGCACTTTTAGCATGGGTTTTCCAGATGGTTTTGTTCTTGGACGGAGAGACGTGTATGGCACTGGTTTCTCCAGGGTGCTGAGCCAGAGTATGAGAATGGGCCATGTAAATGCTATGATCACCAAACCTCTGGAGACTGCTAACTTACCTCATCCAAAGTGGGCTGTCCTCATGTGTCCTTGTGCAGCTGGAGTGACTTTGAATGAGTCATGAGGACCTTTTCCTCAACATTTCTCAACGACTTTAAAGCTGTGACTCCAGAGTCTGCTCAGTGAAGCTCAGTGGGAAACTCCGTAAGTGACCAGTGGTTGTCAAGCGCTTCCTCGCAGGCAGGGCCAGCCTGCCTGGGTCAGGACCTCATGTTGCTGGTGTTGCTCTGGCTGAGCCTGTTAACTGCAGTGAAAGCCAGTTCTTCCTCCCACCAGAGGGTAAGCAGCTTGCACCAAGCTTAGCCAGCCTTCCACAGTGAGCTCTGACTACGGCAGTGACTTCAGGTCTCTGCCTCATCTGTCAAAAAGTGCTACCCATGGGGTGTTATGAGGGTTGAAATGGTCATAATTTACTTAGATTGTAGCGCAAACTTTATGCTAAAGACAAACTACACAGCCAGTGGGGACCAAATACCTGTCACTTAGTCTTTCTCCTCACAGTTCAGTCTCTAATTTCTCTCCCACCAAACTTCGTTTAGCTGACCTGCCTTTTAATGATGTGTCTGTTCACTGTTTCCAAATACAGTATTTTTAAGATGCTAGGAGAGAGAAAATGCCATCATTTGGGCTAGAAAAGGATACATTAACCTTCTTTGGGGCCTGACATTTTCACTTAAGTACTTGGGTTGCCAAGGCTAAGCCAGTACAGTACAAGGGTTGGGTTGCAGGTGAGAAGGCTCAGGTACCCAGCCTGGCCCTCAGAGCTCAGAAGCTGGCTTCCCAGCACAGCAGTCAGCAAATACACAGCCTCCCTGGCCCAGTCTGCCAGGGAAATAATGTCAAGAATGGCTCCGGGACTCGAGAGGTCTAAGTGAAATCAAGAAACTTACATGCCTTGCCCAGGGTTCTATGACCCATAATGTGTTCCGTGAATGCCAGCAAATCGGGGGCCCCAGGGAAACCTTTCTGGTTCTTCTGCATCTTATAAAAACAGTGTATACCCTAGAGGAAGTCCAGTCTGGAGACTGGGGAGTATCTGAAGAAATATTTAGAAATGGCCGGGGCAGGGGAGGAGGTGTGGTTGCGAAAGATGGAATTTATAAGTAGTCTTTAGAAACCACAGCCTTAAAGATGGTCTAATTCATCTTCATTTAGAAGCTTCCTTGGCTTATCATGAGGATGATCTAAAAGAGTCAATAAACCTTAGTTCCAGACCATTTTACATGAAAATTCTTCCCTACCCAGCCACAGCTGTGCTTCAAGTAGAACAGGACAGAACTTGTGAGCACAGGAGGCAGAAGCAGGCCAGATCTATAAATTTGAAGCCGGAGTAGTCTGCATAGTGGCTTCCAGGACAGCTAAGGACACATAATAGAGAGACCCTGTCTTAAAAAAAAAAAAACTTTTGTCTCCATATTGTTATGTTCTCTCAAATACAAAATAAATGTCACAGAAATAAACAGTTTGCCCATTTTGTTCTTGGTAATTTGTGGAGTTGGTGCTGGGAATTGGACCCAGGGGCTTGTGCTTTACCACCAAGCTCCACCCTCTGCATATTTCCTTCAGCTTTTCCACGTTTGAAACTTTGCAATGTACAAAAGTGAAGGGTGTATTCTACAGAGTCCCTAATCCAATGCTAGGGCTTTTGTACATTTTTAGAGCCTTTTTAAAATAGAAGCTACAAAGAATATGTTCAGTTTCTCTGGTTTAAAGGAATAAAATTCTTGCTTTTTTTTTTTCTCATCACCATCTCAGTGGATATGAATGGATTTGGAAAATACATCCTGTTTATTTCTTCTGCCATCAGTTGAGAGAAATCTCCACTGCTAAGTAAATGTTTTGTCCACTTCACTAAACAGCCATTCCCAGCTCCTTCTGAAGTCTTCCAATTCTTTTTTAGAACTTGCTCTCACTTAGCAGGACTCCAGTATGCTAATTACGTAGGATAATTAGCCAGCATACAACCCACAGGAATTGATAAAGATTTTCCCCCAACAGGATAGTCTGCAAGGGTACAAGACCCAAAATAAATTTCTAAATAAGGAAATTTTGGAACTCTCTGCTCTACGAAGAAATGCAGAAAGGAGAGAGAGGGATCTGATGGCAAAGGTAAGTCAGGATGGGTACATTTTACCCCTTGGCGGGAGGGAGGAAACTGTATTTAAGTAGATGTGCTTTTCCAGCCACCATGTTGGGGAAAACCCGGCTACCGGTATGGAAACATTTGTTAGGTTTGTCCAGTACATTTTGTTTGTAGGTGACAAAGAAATGCGCCTACACGTGGTCTCCTCCATACGTTTTTAAGGGGTTTGCAGAGGTGAAAATGAAGTGCAGTTGCAGGGTTCTCCCAAATTGAAATTATCGAGGTTTTCATTTATGCTGTTGAGATTTAGTTTCCCATCTGAGCCAGGAATGTGAGATTATGACCATCTCCATAGATCCAGCAGGGTTGGTTTAAGAGTCAGCCATGATTCTGGCTGCAGGGGGCTTTGGAAAATATAAGAGACCACAAGCATTCCAGCTGTGTGCTAGTGAGTTATAAACACCTGACACTTGTCCACAGCTGCTGTACATGCTTTTTCTGAGCAGCCTTCTGAGCACACTTCTAAAGTGTATTCCTGCATATTTACCAGGGTGAAGTTGATTTTTCTGATCAGGTAGCAGATGGGAACTTGTCCTTCCTGGACATGATGTCCTAACAGAATTGATATGCCTGGGGGTGGGGGTGGGGGGTTCATGGCCCATGTAACCAAGTAGGATTAGGCTTGAGCTCAGCAATTGACTCATGCCAAGTTTTGTTGCTCACTCTAACCATGTTGAAGAGTGTTACCTATGCTTATCAGCATTCCTTCTGTGCCAAACTCTTAGGAAAAAAGGGGAGCTATAGCAGGCCATTTTAACCCTGAAAAGGTCTGTGGCGTGAATTAACCTTTCGCCTGTGTTGTAGTTTGCAGCAGGCTCACTTCCTAATCTTTTTGGGCATGCTGGTTTGAACTCACTGGGTACCTCAAGCATCTAAGGCTTGCTTTTCTTGCATTTACCTCTGGGTGGAAGTACCACCTTACCACCTTACATTCTCCGCAGTATTCTAGCCTGGAAGCCAAGCTCTGCCAGGTAGAAAGTAAGTACTTGATACTGCTTCAAGAAATGAAGACACCAGTTTGCTCAGAAGAACAGGGGCCTACCAGGGATGTCATAGCCCAGTTGCTGGAGGATGCTCTGCAGGTTGAGAGCCAAGAACAGCCTGAGCAGGCGTTCATCAAGCCTCATCTGGTCAGGTAAATGCACTTGCCTCTGTTGGGACAGTCCACCCATTTATAAAGTTCCCTTTCCACTCACGGGCCACTTAACACTGTGTGTCTGTGACAAGTACTGTAAGGCCAGAAAACATATGTCATCATTCTACCTCAGAAATCAAGTAATGGAGCTGGAATGAATCCAGGCCTGTTGATTCCAAAACCTTGTCAAAGTGGCCACACCTACAATACACACCTCCGTTGCAGGGGCCAGTTTTCCAAGGGACAGGAACTCTCTCCTGACACATGTGCATCCTATCGCAGGGGGAAGTGAAAGCAAAGGGGCCCATGAAGAGAAGCTGTGTTTTCTTGTATGGGAAGGCGGTTTCTCTAAACTGGTTGAGTGGCCCACGACCCACAGAGGATCTGAAACAAACACTGGACCCACCCCCAAGATGCACTAAGACACGTACATGTAAAATACTGCATCTTTTTTTTTTTTGTAGGGTGTGGGGGCTCATAGAACCTAGAAGCATATGGTGGATCTTGGATTAAAAGCTTAAATACAATGTATTTTCTGACAAATCTCAGAGTGTTGGTGTAGATGGAAGTTTCTGCCCTGCCCCATCCAGCAGCCATTCAGTCCCAAATAAACACACAGAGGCTTGTATTAATTATAAACTGTTTGGCCTATTGTTCAGGCTTATTACTGTCTAGCTCTTACAACTTATATTATCTGTGTTTAGCCACGTGACTTGGTACTTCTTCTCAGTAAGGCATTCTCATCTCTTTTCCTCTGCATCTGACTAGTGACTCTGTCTCCGCCTTTCCTCTTCCCAGAATTCCCCTAGTCTGGTATCCCTGCCTACACTGCCTGCCTGGCTACTGGCCAGTGTTTTATTAAACCAGTACAAGTGACAAGTCTTTACAGTGACTAAGAGCATTATCCCATATCGTGTTGAGAGTAGGAAAACTGAAGGTTGGCCTGGTGTACCCTCCTCTTTGGTCACTCAGACACAGCACTGCCTCTGGGCCTCAGATCTGTTCTTGAGCCTTCCCTTTACCTCTTTGAAGGGTTCATGTAGCTATCGGGTCTCTTGGTAACCCAGACAAATCTCTATCTTAAGTCTGTAACCTTAATACCATCTGCCACTATCTTTTCCTTGTATGTAGTCACAGATTTCAGGAGTAGGATGCTGACATCTCGGCCCATATCCACCAAAGCCTTGATTGATGTTTATACCCAATATCTTACAAATACCCTCTTCCTTGTCTTTTCACCTCTTAAAATGATGCCTTGTGGACAGGTGTGGTATCACACACCTGTGATTCTAGCTACTTGGAAGGTTAAGCCAGAAGGATCACTTGAGCTTAGGCATTTGAGGCTAGGCTGGTAAACATAGCAAGATATGTTTTTCTGAGACAGTCTCTGTCCAGCTACACCCAGACTTGCCTTGAACTTACACTCCTCCCTCTTCAGCCTCCTTCAGTGAGGTCAGTGGTGTACCACCCTGCCCACTTAGGTCAGTCTTGTTTGGTGATGGTGCCTTCTGGTGTCATCTGCGGAGTTTTAACCCATCTGAAAGTGATTTTCCCCTGTACACTGTGGAGCGTCGATCTCATTTGACCTTTGCCATGTAGACAGCCAGTTGTCCTAGCCCTGCTCATCGAGAAACCTACATGGTCTGAAATGTGTCCTGTTTGACTGCCACACAAGCCCATGCCATTTCTGCTGTCCCTCTTGTTATTTATCCACAGTGAGTTTGACATCTACGGGTTTAGGACTGTCCCTGATGACGATGAGGAAGAGAAGTTGGTGGCCAAGGTCCGAGCGTTGGACCTGAAGACTCTGTACCTCACAGAGAACCAGGAAGTCTCCACTGGAGTCAAGTGGGAAAACTATTTTGCAAGCACAATGAACAGGGAGATGGTGTGCTCGCCCGAGCTCAAGAACCTGATTCGAGCAGGCATTCCGCATGAGCACCGCTCCAAGGTGTGGAAGTGGTGTGTTGACCGTCACACCAGGAAGTTCAAGGACAGCATGGAGCCCGGCTACTTCCAGAGCTTGCTCCAGAAGGCACTGGAGAAACAGAATCCCGCCTCCAAGCAGATTGAGCTGGACCTGCTGCGGACTCTGCCAAACAACAAACATTACTCCAGCCCCACGTCGGAGGGCATCCAGAAGCTGCGCAGCGTCCTACTGGCCTTCTCCTGGCGAAATCCGGATATTGGCTACTGCCAAGGCCTCAACAGGTGGGTGTCAGACTACTCCCATCTGTGGTTTAGAGCACCTGTGGGCACCAGGCACTACCTGGCAGTTCTGTCTCCTCCTGGCTAAGAAAAGCCTGTACTCCAGGGGAGAAGATTCTGGGATGACAGCAAGCTTGCACGATGCAATACCTCCTCTTCTGTAGCAGGCTTTCTTGTCAGACTATCTCTGAATTGCCAGCCCAAAAATAATGACCTGGAGACTTGAATTATGAAAGTTTGGCCTTCGGCTTATGCTTGTCCCCAGCTAGCTCTTATAACTCAACTTGTTTCTGTTAATCTACATTCTGCCGTGTGGCTCAGTTACCTCTCTGCTCTGTACCACATGTCTGACTTCTTCAGAGTCTCGCTGGGATCTCTCTGGCATAATCCACGTGCCTGGATTGTTCCTCCTCCTCTTCCTGTCTCTCCCAGAAATTCTGCCTATCCCTCCTGCCTACCTATTGGCCATTCAGCTTTTTATTCCACCAATCACAGCAGCACATCTTCACACAGTGAACAAGCATCCCACAACACAGTACTCGCGTAACTCAGGCAGATTCTGCTTCGGAGCCTGAGGAGTCAAAGCTGTCTGGGGTGTGGCTCAGCACTAGTATGTGTTCTTGGCACAAGTGAGACCTGGTTCAGTCCCAGCTCCAGCTCTGGTGAGCACAGAAGCCAGGCTCTCTTGAAGCCTCTTAGAGTCGCACTTTTTTCCTTCTTCGCTTTTCTCTTCATGCTTAGTTTTAATCATAAGAATATGATTGCATTATTTAATAATTGATGGTGTAAAAGCTGGTGTCATTGGTGCAGGATCCTGAATGGGTTTTTTTTTTTTCCTGCTAATTAAAACTCAGCCCTTGAAAGTCCTAAACTTGCTTGCCTTTTTTTTTTTACTTTTAAACTTCAAACTTTTGTCATATTTAGTCTTGATTTCCCTGTAGTACTTTTCTTTTAAAAGTTCTTGTTCTTTTTAGGCAGAAATGTAAAATATATGTGTACATTCTGAGAGTGACAAAGTTATGACTTTTATATAAGATTTGTTATTCAAAAATTTAGTAGGTGGTTGACAAATATTTAGTATCATTAGTAATGACATGAAAATATTGTGGTTTTTCAAAGGTGATAAAATTGTTTTGTAGCTTTCAATTCTTTTACATATAGAGCTTTGTTTCCCGTGACACTATACTAAATAACGGACTATATTTACCATACTGATCCTATAAGTTAGATCATCCTAAATAACGGACTATATTTACCATACTGGTCCTATAAGTTAGATCATCCTGCAGCACCCTAATAATTTTAGTTCGGTATCTGTATACTTTAAACTTAGCAGAACAATATGAACTTGAATTTAAATTCTTTAGATTAGATTTTTTCCTAATAAAAATGGATTAGAATCTCTGCAAAGCTTTCAGAATGCTGAAGAATGCTCCAAAGTTGAGGCATGTTAGATTTTCTTTTCTTACTAATTGTACTCCTGCACACCGTGTGTCCTGACCACTCTCATCCCTGGTGCTGTCCCAACCCCCTACCATCCCTGTCTACTCCCCTCCTCCCCACAAATCTCTCACATCCATGTCTGTTTGTTTTGCTTTGTAGCCACTAAGTAGAATGTCTTATAGGTCTTGAATATTTTCCATGCTCCCATAAGCAGAGAACACGGAGGGCCTCTCACCCTCTACCAGTGACCCAGGCTGTCATCTGAGCTGTGTGTTGGGCCAGGACAAGGCTCTGGGGGTACCAAGGTCTGCTGCCCACCAGACTCCTCTCCGCACCAGGACTGGACTGGGCCAGCATCTCACCGCTCGTCTCGTCTTCCCCTGCTTCATCTCTCTCTGCTTTCTGTTGTTTCTGCGGTTCATATGCCTATCCTTTCCAAGCTTGTCCAAAAGAGAAAATAAACCAAGCATGGTGACACACTCCTTTAATCCCTGCCCTTGGGAGGCAGAAGTAAGTAGATCTTATGAGTTTGAGACTAGCCTGGTCTGTATAGTAAGTTCTAGGCCAGTAAAGGCTACACAGTGAGGCATTGCCTCAAACGAGGAGGGAAGAAGAGATAAAATAAGAATGAAGTTGTTTGTGTGTCCTTGAGTTGTGAGTGGCTGCTCGGAGGCTTTTTTGCTGCTGACCTCCGGGTGAGCTGCCTGTGTCTGCATGTGAGTATTACGGGAGGGGAGGTGGAAAGCTGGACTTACTTAAAACCCAGGTGAAACCCTGTGGCTACCAGGAAACAGTGACTTCTCTGTCAACAAAGACGGGATCTCTGTCCTTGGGAGGTTAAAGAGGACTTCAGCTTCTCTTAGTCACGTTTCAAAACCAAAACCTGCCTAAAGCAGCCTCGGTTTTACGTAAAGCCACAGCTCACACTGTACTGAGTCTAAACCCCCGAGGCCAGGACTGCGCAGTGGAGGCTTGCTGGTACTCTCCTGGAACTGCTCTGTGATCCTCGAAGTCCCAGGAATACTGACTCGCCTCCACATCTGTCCTGTTAGAGCCTCTGAATTTTAATTGGTGGGTGGGGTAGATTTTTATCCTCAGAATCCTTGGTCTATGCCCCTGCCTTCTGAGAACCTAGCATTCGAATATGAGAACACTAGCTCTTTCTGGATCTGAGCTTACCATGCCCAGCCTCGGTTAAGTGATGTCCAGACAGTTCTGTTTTGGACTCTTGGATGCCTCTCCTAGTTATTTGTTTTAGAGTGTCAGGAACTTTCCTCTGTGACTGCCCTCCAGTTGTCACCTCCCCACTCTCCATCCCTTTTAGGGAAGCTGGAGTCACCCTCTTGACACCTACCCAGCCAGGTCCTATTTTTTTCATTTGAGATTTGCAGATTTCTTTCAGTTTTATCAAAGAAAAAGAAAAGAACAGATTCTGAGTGAGGGCATTTTTCCTGTGAGGGACATGTATAAACTTTGTTTGGGGTAGAAGTTGTTGGATTTGAGCTCGGTGGAGAGGGACTTTTCCTCAGCGCTCCCCATTTCTGGTGATGGAACTCAGGATCTCATAGGTCAGCCGGGTACTCTGCCTCTGAGCACAGCGGAGTCCCCCACCCAAGGCCTGAGACATGCCAGGCAAGTGCTGTACCACTGAGCCTCTTCCCCAGCACCCCCTCTTCATACACACCTTTATTTTAAATTTTGAGACAGGGTCTTGCCAACTTGGCCAGGCATGAGCCTCAGTTTGTGACTCCTCCTGCTCTAGCCTGCTGGGAAACTGGGATTAGTTGTGTTTTACCAACAGCCTCCTGATTATGGCAGTGTGCAAATGGCTGGAGCCAGACTTCCATTAATTATGAATGACAGAGAAGTTGGTATGTGTGACCTCCTTTCCTGCCCCATGTGTACCCCTCATGCAGCTCCAAAGGCCTCTGCTGGGGACTCTGTGCAACCCTATTTCCTTCCTCCAGAGAGGCCTCTGGATAGTGGAGGGTATCAGATTCTTAAACTACCTCATACTCCGTTACATTCACATTACTTTATAGACATAAAACGATTAATCAAAGCATTTTAAGCAGCGAACTCAAAGAACTAATTGCATTAGCAGAGTATTAGAGTGAAACAGTTTTTTGTTTGAGAGCCTAGCCTTTAGCTGAGCCATCTTTCCAGCCCAAGTGGAACATTTTTTACACAAGGTTGCTGGATCACATGGAAGCGATTTCACTGGGAAATAATTGCAACTTTGAACAAAAACCAAATGACAGGATCAGAGAATGTGACTTTTCTCTTCAAGTTTTAGAGGATTCGTCACTTACCCAGAAATTCTCATTTATCCTTCTTTAGGGAAGAAGAAATTGTGCTGGCTCTTAGAGAAAATGGCTTCAGCAGACATCTTGGTGAAGGCAGGAACAGGAACCCACACTGACCTTGTCCCTGTCTGCCCGTAGGTTGGTGGCAGTGGCCCTCCTTTACCTGGAACAGGAAGATGCTTTCTGGTGTCTCGTCACCATCGTGGAAGTCTTCATGCCTCGAGACTATTACACAAAGACTCTACTGGGGTCCCAGGTACTTCTAACATACTATGCCTTAGTCACTGGCCAATAGGACTCCAGTTGTCATCTGGTCATCTGGGGCGGCTTGTGCACAAGACTGCAGTGACTGGTGTCTGTGAATGAGCTAGGTCCTTCAGCTCCCTGGGCACCTCAGAGAGACAGTCTGTCATAGACCAAAGATGGGGGCAGCTGCTATGTTAAGTCAGTTCTTCCAGGGTGCGGGGGCCAGGTTGGAGAAGATGTGGTGGGGGGGGAGGGAAAGGGCTGCTGAGGAGGCTTGGGGAGCCTCCAGCCAGGGGAAGGAACCAGAGTTGAAAGCACAGAATTGGCTGTTAAAGGTACCACAGGAGCAACTTCCTTGGTGCTCTGCCCTTCCTTTCCCTAGTTTCTGGGAACAGACAATGCTGAATCTTAAAAGATTGGCAGTAAGTAACCTCCTCTCACATGAGAAGATCTGGTACATGCTCCAATTCACATCTGGATCTTGACAGCAGGGCCCAGAGTAGGGTGGCATGGGCTGGAAGAGGTCAGACCATGTCTCCACCTGGTCTAGCCTTGGACACTTCTCAGCCGGCTAGGGCTACCCCAGTGTTCACCATTCTCTCTGCTATCCTGGCCCTTTTCTCTGTTTCCTGGCTGCCTTGCCCTCACGTTCTTCCTGTCAACCACAGCTGTGGCTGCCCCACAGCCGCCTCCCCAGGTTCACAAGCCCAGCATGCCTGCTCACACAACCTGCCCTTGCTCTCCTTTCTCCCCCCGTTCAGGCTAGCGCCATGGGCTAGTGGACAGTTCCCACCCGCCCATAGAGCTGCTGGATACAGTTCACCCTCCAATGACGGGGCACTGGGTGTCTGGTTATGGGAGTCCTCTATTAGAACACATCCCCTGCTCATCTAGAAAGTTCCAGGTCAGTTCCAGTATACGCCCTCCCTTTCCCAGGGCAGCTGTAAGGGGTGTTGCTTCAGTTCCTGCCATCCTTGAGATGACTGGTGCCTAGCTGAATTAACCCTAACTGCCCACTTATCCTCCAGCTAATCAGTGGTACCATTCGGGCCACAGCTCTGTCATCTTAGGATGTCCAGCACCATCCAAAGAAATGTCAGCACCTGCGGGAGCTACTGTTTGGCCAGAAAAGGGAACTGGTATTTGATGAGCCTGGGCTTATACTATCAGCTACACTCTCAAAACATACCGTGTGCCAACCTTATTGTCCCCCCGACTGACTCCAGAGGAAAAAAAGACATTGAACTAGAGCCAGTTAGTTACCTAGGGGCCAGCAAGGTGGCTCCCTGGGTAAAGTCACTTTCACCAAGCTTGATGATCTAAATTTAATCTTTAGAACACATGGTGGAAGGAGAGAACCAGCTCCTTCATGTTCTCATCTCCATACCATGGCACATATGCACACCCCCAAAGATGAATATATTGGGCTTGCACTCAGTCACTGGAGCCCCTGCCTAAGCTTGTGCCCTCCTTCCACACCGTGCTGGTGGTTGGTAGGAAGCTGAGCTCTGGCCTTCCACGGTTGCCAAGTCCAGGTCCCGTCCCAGCTGCACTGATGTCCCTGGACACCCAGAAAAGCTTGCCTGTCCTCCTTGCAATCTCTTCACTTGCTAATTAACTGAGAACTGTTTCCCTGTCAACATGAGTTTGTGAACCAGGACGACATGGCCAGCAAGGGGATGAGGCAGTGGTCTCAGTCAGGTGGGATTTTAAATCAGTGGCCATGCTTTGTGTATTCACAGCACCTGAAAACAACCCTGCAAGCTCAGATTCAGAGCCTTAGATGATGCCTTAGTGTTTTGAATAGAAAAAGTGAGGCATTGCTGTCCCGACCACTCTAGCTGGGGTGTCATCAGGTACTTTTTACCCTGATGTCGGTGCCGGTTTCTTCCCTCAGATGTTCCTAAGACATCCATTTCTCTCCATTATCTCTGTACCATGTGTAAGGCAAGTGAGTGTGCCATCAGTCCCAGTGCTAGCTTTGCCAGAACCCAGAGCCCCAAGCCTGCTGCCTGCTGCCTGCTACCACTGTGACCCGACTGCTGGCCAGGTTTCCCTTTCTTGCCATCCTTGAAATGCATGTTGTGTGCCAGGACCTCAGCAGGCATTGCAGACACCGATGAATGACATACTTATCCTATGTCCTCCAGTGCCGAGTGGAGGAGGGCTGAAACAGAGGCCTCAGCAAGCATTTCCTGGCAGCCTGCTCTATGCCCATCCCTCTGCCAACCCCTGGACAGCCTCAAGTGAGGCACAGTCTGCCATCCAGTTGGAAGAAGAAGTGTGTACACACGTTTTTTCTCCCACTTCAAAGTCAGATAGATGTCCTGTCCATGCAGAGTCTTGAGCGACCCCCACCCGGATAGGCTAACTCCTGAGTCATCACTTGGTCTCATGCTCAGATGTCCAGATGTAACAGGAGATGTTACTTTGCAGCCTCTTCAACGCGGCACCGGGGCCCCATCGCCAGGGACTTGAAGTGTTAGCAAATGTGTCATTGTTTGATTGTTGACAAGGAAGTAATGAGAGAAAGTGTGTGATCTGACTGCCAAGAGTGGCACTGGGCAGGGAGGGGAGCAGTGCTTCCTGGTGGACGGACACCAGCCCCAGCTTGACCTCTTAGGCAGCTGTGGGTGCCATGGCTACGGACAGTTTTCAGGATATTACATCTAACCTGAGTTTGACAGGGGCAAGTAGACATACATGCGTGAAAGGTGAAACAGGCTCTACAGATTATTTTGAGCACTTTTTTTTAAAAGTATTCAAGACAATTACATTCATTTTAGTAGTTTACACCTTTGATTTTGTCTCTTATTGTCAGAGAGCAAATGTGCATTGTTTATTTATAATAATCTTTTTATTTAACTTTTTACACATGTTACTTTCAGTTCCCTCTTCCTCCCTTCCTGCCCTGGCCCCCCATTCCTCCCACCCCCTGTCCTCCTCCATCTCCCCATGGCTCCCCAGGGAGGGTAAGGCCTTCCATGAGGGATTTTCAGAGTCTGTCACATCATCCCAAGAAGGGCCTAGGTTCTTCCCCATGTGTCCAGGCTGAGAGAGCATCCCTCCATATGGAATGGGCTCCAAGTCCATATGTATGCCAGGAATAAATACTGATGTACTCTCCAAGGTCCCATAAATTGCTGAGGCCTCTTCTCTGACACCCCAGTTCGGGGTGGAGGGGTGGAAGGGGAGGGTGTCTGGATCAGTCCCATGCTGGCCTTTCAGTCATCAGTCTGGGGTCCATGAATTCCCCCTTGTTTAGGTCAGCTGCCTCTGTGGGTTTTGCCAGCCTGGTCTTGATTCCTTTGCTCATCACTCCTCTTTGCAGCTGGGTTCCAGGGGTTCAGTTTGGTTTTTAGCTGTGGGTGTCTGCCTCTGCTCCTGTCAGCCACTGGATGAGGGTTCTAGGATGGCATATAAGGAAGTCATCAATCTCGTTATCAGGGGAGGGCATTTAAGGTAACCTTAATGCCAGTTGGTGTCATTTTCGTAGATCTGTGAAGATCTCACTAGTGCCAGATCAGATCTCTCTTCCAACTTACAATGGCTCCCTTTAATATGTATCTCCTATTCTTCTCTCCTCTATTCTTGCCCTGACTCAACCTTCCTGCTCTCCCCTGTCCTCCTCTCCCCTCCTCTTCTCCCCCTCTCTTTCTCCCATCTCCCTCTCCCCCACCCCCTGCTCCCAATCCAATTAGGAGATCTCCTCCCATAACCCTTCTCTGGGTTACCATGCATATCTCTCTTAGGGTCCTCCCTGCTTCCCAGACTCTGGTGGTGGGATTGTAGGCTGGCAATGCCCTGTTCCATGTCTAAAATCTATATATGAGTGAGTATATATGTTTGTGTTTTTGTGACTGGGTTACCTCACTCAGGATGGATTCTTCTAGTGCCATCCATTTGCCTGCAAGTTTCAAGATCCCATTGTTTCTTTTCCACTGAGTAGTACTCCATTGTGTAAATGTACCACATTTTCTCTATCCACTCTTCAGTTGAGGGGCATCTGGGTTGCTTCCAGGTTCTGGCTATTAAAAATAATGCTGCTATGAACATAGTTGAGCAGATGCCCTTGTTGTATGAGGGTACATCTTTTGGTTATATGTCTAAGAGTGGAATTACTGGATCTTGTGGTAAGCTGATTTCCGTTTTCCTGAGGAATCTCCATACCAATCTCCATTTTTAACCCCTAAATTCCTCTATTTTGTTGTTCTTCATCCACTCTAAGGTACATTTATAATGTTTAAAATTATTTTAGAAACAGCACTGTTTTTAGCTATTTATTTATTCACATGTTTTTGGATTTTGAGAAAGGGTCTTGCTTGAAAACTGCCCTAGAACTCCAGATCCTCCTGCCTCAACTTCCCAAGTGCAAGGAGTATAGGTGTTCACCACCATGCCTGATAGGGTTTTTTTTTAAATAATTTATTTATGTTTTATGTATGTTCATTGGCGTTTTCCCAGCATGTATGCCTGTGTGAGGGTTTCAGATCTTGGAGTCACAGACAGTTGCTAGCTGCCATGTGGGTCCTGGGAATTGAACCTGGGTCCTCTAGAAGAGCAGTCAGTGCTCTTAATCACTGAGCCATTTCTCCAGGCCATGCCTACTAGTTTTTAGCTTTGCCTTTTAAAAAGTTAAATTTCAAATAGAGGTTTTTCCTTGTACCTGTTTAACTGTGCTTTCTAAAACAAATAACAGTAGCATTTTTATTGTTATAGCCATAACAATATTTTAAAAAGCAGAACTTCAAACAAATATTTGCCATTTTAAAAGTTTTTGCTTGTCCTTTAGAATAACATTTTTAAGGTGTTACCATTTGATTAGACTGTAGCTATGTTAGTATTCCAGGAATCCCGGGAATGTTCACATCTTTCGTCCTAATTGACTGGGTTGTCCTAGTTAAGGTTACTATTACTGTGATGAAACACTATACTATTACCAAAGCAACTTGAGGGGGAAAGGGTTTATTTGGCTTACACTTCTACATCACAGGATGTAGGGCAGGAACCTGTAGCCGATGCAGACAGAGGCCATGGAGGGGTGCTGCTTACTGGCTTGCTCTTCATGGCTTGTTCACCCTGCTTTCCTATAGAAGCCAGGATCACCAGCCCAGGAATGATACTATCCACAATGGGCTGGGCCCTTCCCCCATCAATACTAATTGAGAAAATGCTCTACGGCAGCAGTTCTCAACCTGTGGGTCTTGACCCCCCCCCCATGGGTCTTTACCCTTTCACAGGGGTCACCTAAGATCATCAGGAAGCTTAGATATTTACATTACGATTCATAATAGTAGCAAAATTACAGTTATCAAGAAGCAACAAAAATAACTTTATGGTTGGGTGTCACCGCAACAGCATTAAAGAGGCAAAGCCTTAGGAAGACTGAGAATGACTACTGGCTTGCCTACAGCCTGGCCTTATGGAGGCATTTTGTCGGTCAAGGTTCCTTACTCTCGAATGACTTAAGCTGTGTCAAGTTGACACAAAACTATTGCACAGGGGCTTTGAAGATTAGTCCATGGTGTCCTCCTGGTAGGATTGTTCTGCAAAGTGGCCATCCGGTCAATTTCCCTATCAGCTGCTCTAGAGAGCATGACCTGCTCCATGGTCTCAGCATGATCAGACCAGAGCCCTCCTCCTCTACAGGCTGGCTTTCTGCCTTTGCAGCCTGTTCCTCTCCACCCTCTTGAAATTGTACCACTCACTACAGGGGGTCTCTTCCTAAAAGGTGCCCCGGGGGCACCCGCTGGTTCCTATCTTCCCATTCTGTTCCTGTGCTCTGGTCTCAGGTGCCACGTCTCTGCCATCTCCATGCCAGGCTCAAAAGTGAGATGTTCTAAGCACCGTTTCTTACCCCTCACACAAAGGGGTTACCTTTGGCAATTACCTTCAAGTAGTTTTGAGATCCATGCACCCTCCTCCATTTTCATCAGTTTGACAGGGCCCTCGGCCATCCAGTCTAGCCTTCCTGTTGCAACTGGAAGGATGGACCTAGAGAGCAGGCCTCACTGTTGGCCGTCCTGCTGAAAGCCTTGAGATGTTTCTCCTTTCTTCCCTGCTGGTTGCAGAGTCTGTGAGGAAGCTGGTTTCGTACAGACAGTAACCAAATGCACCTGAGTCCCACTCTATGATCTGAGCATTGTTCTTTGAAGCTTGTTTCTGTTTTAAACACACACACACACAGTTAAGTTAAATGTTGTGTGGGTCACACACAAAGCAGGGAAAGCCCCTTGGTGTGGCCTCTCAACCCTTTCCTAGAACCCTGATCCCTTGCCCACGTTACACTCATCCATTTGTCTAGCTACCCTACTCGACCCTTCCATCCTGTTGGTCATCCTCCAACCGTACTGAGCTTCTACCTCAGCCAGCACTGGTTGGCTGACATAACCTGCAGGGTTATAGCCACCTGTGACTCTTTTGTAGCCTCCTGTGACTTGCCTATCTTGCAGTATTTTACGTATCTCTTTTAATGCCCAGAGCAGCACGGTGGGTAAGTCAGCTACCACTGTCTTCCTGAGTGCAGAGCTGTTTAGAACATCCTTGTAGATGGGTGGACCCAGCTAACAAGACACACCTGCGATCCTCTGACTCTAGCGTGCCTTCTGCCCACCGTGCCCTAGTAAGCATGCTCATTGCGTGGAAGTGGGTAGTATGTCATATTTCATGTTCAGTGACTCACCGTTCCTCATGCACCTGTCAAGACTGCCTGGACTCATGGGAGTATTAGCAGGCAGACACCAGCCTGCCAGTTCTCCTCCGTACCCTGCTTTCACGTGACATGTTGAGTACAGGAGCTGCTTTCAGGCAACAGACTTCACTTCTCCCCATCCCCTGAGGAGAGTGCCATTTAATGTCCCTGCAGCATTTGAGGTCGGCTGCCTGTGGGCCACCGAGCAGCCTGGCTCTATGATGTGTCCCACGTGTACATCTGAAGCGGCTGTGTTGTTGCATGTTCCCGTGGGCTCCGCCCTCCCTTCTCTGTGGAGCAGCTGCTGTGGTTTGCAGACCCGGACTTCTCCCCGCTTTGTTCCCTCTCCAGGTGGACCAGCGGGTGTTCAGAGACCTCATGAGTGAGAAGCTGCCTCGATTGCACACCCATTTTGAGCAGTACAAAGTGGACTACACCCTCATCACCTTCAACTGGTTTCTGGTGGTATTTGTGGACAGTGTTGTCAGCGACATCCTTTTCAAAATATGGGACTCTTTCCTTTATGAGGGACCAAAGGTGAGTGTACTCCTTGCAGATATACATGCTTGACAGGCTGTGACAGACCATTGTCAATAGTGGCTAAGTGGCTGGTTCACCTGGAACTTGTGAAGTTACCACTGTACCAAGGTTACCTCAGTTTAATGTGTTCCTGCAGGCCTTGGAAAACAGCAGTTACTGACTCATCCTTCAGAAACCTCAGTGTGAATCTGGGCATGGCAGCTCATAGCGAGATCCTGCCTCAGAATAACTTGCAAAGTGCTGAGTAGCTTAGTGGTCCAGCACTAACTTTGCTCAGGTGAGGCCTCTGGGTTCAGTCTCTAGCCTCCTCCTACCCCCACATACCATACCACAGCATACCGTGAATGAATGAATGCATGCATGCCTGGTGGGTCAGCACAACAACAAGCCTCACAGTCTGAATTTAGTTCCTAGAATTAAACGGTGGCAAGAGAAAACCAACTTCTACAAGTTTTTCTCTGACCTCCACACAAACATGTGTCTACAAATGTACACACACCAATAAATAAATAATTTTAACTAAATAAAAACAAAACGTAACTAGGGAACATACAGTAGGAAAGCAATCTCCCCATATTCTGTTGTTTTCTCCCCAATTTTATATTCTTCTGTGTTTCTTAAGCCTATCCCAGAGTGTGCTGTTTTAACTTACTGTATCTTGGGGCTAGTTCTGTGCCAGCACATACAGGAGCTATGTTGTAGCATGATGGCATTCCCTCATACAGGAGTCAGAAATGTACATAGCAGCCCCTGAGGGTGGCCCATTTGGTTGTTTGCAATCTTCTGCCACTTCAGAACAAGCCGCACCCAGCTCTTTCTGCCCGTATGCACATGCATTTTAGATTTAACCTAGAATTGCAGGATCACAGATTAGTTCACCAGCACTGTTGGGGTAACACCAGATTGCCCCCCAACAAGGGCCTTATGAAGACTGAGCCATGGTGGTGTATGCCTTTTATCCCAGCACTCAGGAGGCAGAGGCAGGTGGGTCAAGGCCAGCCTGGTCTACATAGTGAGTTCCTGGACAGCCAGGGCTACAAAGGGAAACCCTGTCTCAAAAAATAAATAAATAAATAAATAAATAACCTTATGAGTTTACACTCCCAAGACAGTTGAGTGTATGTATTATCCCGTATGCAGATTTAGTGTCCAGCATAGAGTATTACCACTTTTATAGTCTTAGTTTGTCATTAATACAAAGAATTCTCAACCAGGAGTGTCAGCACTATCTTTGTTGGGCTGTAGATGAGTATGTGAAGAAAATCATGAACAATTTGACCCTGAAAATACTGCTTTCTAAATATGATGCTGTGTAGACTGACACAGGCCTTCAAGGCTCTTAGATATGGAAAAGCATTTTGTTCCAAAGCTTCCTGGACTTGTAAGGAGTTCATTCCCCCCAGCCTTGCCCAGAGTACCCCAAAAACAAATCAGCACAATCGACTGCGGATTTCACTGTATTGAAAAATCAGTGCGACCCCCTGCTCACCAGCCAAGGCTTTGTCAGCCCATCTGGAGTTGCAGCTTCACATTTTCAGTCAAAAAAGCCTGGGTTTTGATCTTATGTAGAACTGGTTCTTAGGTCAGTATTCTTTGTTGAATACCTAAGGTAACCAAATGTGAAAGGATTCCACACGTCTCACTTCTTAGGAACGTTTGTGATTTGGGCTGAACAGTTGGAAACCACAAACATTTGTTTTTCTGTACCAAAGGTCTCTGTCTAGTCCTGGAGGTCACCCCTCAATTCAGGTGTCTGCCCGAGGACAGGGCCCTTGGGATATGTGGTCCAGCCAGCCCCCAGTTCTAGAGTCAAGCCTCACGACTCATGCCTAGCCACAGTGTGTCTTCAATTACAGTTTCCCTGGCTTTCCCTTAGGTTATTTTCCGTTTTGCCCTGGCACTTTTTAAATACAAGGAAGAGGAGATCCTAAAGCTGCAAGATTCCATGTCCATCTTCAAGTATCTCCGTTACTTCACTCGGACTATCCTTGATGCCAGGTGAGTTGTCAGGAATCCTCGGACTCAAGAGCCGTCCAGGGTGCCATGTGCAAGAGGGAAGTTCCTTTTCAGAGAAAGAAATGGGAAGGGCTATGGCCATCCAGTCATTTGAGGAGACAGAGATGAATATTCAATACTACTGAAAACAGTAGTCCCTGTGATAGTGCAGAATCGATACAGGAGGGATGGTAGATACAAAACAGCCCTGAATTTGATGGCTCCCAGCAGGAAGAAGCCTCCCTTAGACCATGTAGTGATGAAGAAACCAGGCTGGAAGAGAATGAGGCTAGGAGGAAATAGCAAGAGTTGTGCCTGACAGAGATGCCTCCAGGCACAGCTGTGGGAACAAGTGTATTTAGAGACAGTGGGAGGGGGCACTCAGCTTGTGCCAGGGTGCTGGAGCTCATGACTACAGCCTAGCCTGGCTCCTATAGACTATGCTCAGGACTTTGAGCTTTATTCCAAGCATATTGGAAAGTCGCTGAACACATGCTGGGCCACCAGGAGAGTACACACTATTAGACGGATCTGGAAAAGAAAGGTGGTAGCCTGGAGAGGTGTTCTTGGAGATGAAGACAAGTGGGATGGATTGAAGAAAGTCAGGGTCACACACACACACACACACTCACACACACACCCCACCTCTCAAGCCACACAGTTATTTCCTGCCTGAGCTGCCATTTTTCCCTACGCCACAGTTGGTCATTGCTCTGGCTCTGGCGGCTGAGGTAGACATCAGCAGTGGGAGTGGTACCAGAAGCCATTCTGGGAGGCGGTCTCTGTTTCTCTTGAGGAGTATGTTTTCAAGAAAGGCTTAGGCTCAGTACTAACACTAAAAATAACCTGATTTGTGCCCCGAGGGAAGGGGTTTGTAAGTGTTCGCTGTGAAAGATTGATGAAAGGGTTAGAATGAGGGTTTTGTTCATCTCAAATTGGTCAAGATTAAGAATGACTGAAGGAGGCTGGGCAGTGGTGGCGCATGCCTTTAATCCCAGCACTTGGAAGGCAGAGGTAGGTGGATCTCTGTGAGTTCCAGGCCAGCCTGGTCTACAGAGCTAGTGCCAGGATAGGCTTCAAAGCTACACAGAGAAACCCTGTCTCGAAAAAAAAAAAAAATGACTGAAGGAATTCCCACATGACAATTAACACTGTGTTGAGAGCATTTTGGTTCAAGTACAGATTCTGCCTCACCCTAACAGTCTTAAGGGGAATGTCAGGGCTGCCTGGAGATAAATCCCTGTCCTCTACTGCCTGCCACCACAGGACAGAACTGGCCATTCCCATCTTGCTTGATCCTACAGCGCCACCTTGTGAGTGGCTCCTGAAACAGTTTCCCCTTTGCTATAGAAAGTCAGGGTCACCGGGCTAAGGGGTCAAAATGTGTGCATCACTTCCAGTTGCCGCTGGCCCCTACTCCTGCACCTGGCCACCTCCAGGGAGGTTGCTGAAGCTGCAGGTGCCTTGGTCCCACCTCCACACTGGAGTTCCAGTACTTGAAGGAGCTGCCCACGCTCATGGTCTGAGGAGAGGCAGCTCTGCAGAGTTGATAGGTCTTACAGAGATGGGCAGGGGTTTCTGTAGCCAGGTGCATTCTGGAGACTTGGGATGATGCAAGGTTGTACTGGTCGGTGTCTGTGGCAGGACTTCTGGGGGTCCATGAGAGGCTGAGCATACAAGACCAGTATTTGAATCCTCTTTGTACTGCAGCCTGGGCCCTGTCGCATTTGGTTCTATCCAACTAGGGTAAATTAATAATTTAGTAACCTTGTTTACACTTTCTGTAGTAAAGAATGAGTTTTCTGGTTTATGGAGCCTGTGGCGCACATAAGAGGAAGGACAGTGGTAGGCTCCTGCTTCTCAGTCTCACTGATGTGCCCCAGTGAGATCCCAAACCTGGGCCTGAAACAACACCTGGACATGGTCAGTTAACCTTGGTGATTGCCCATCCTAGAGCATATGGGGAACTTGGCCTGAGAAGAGAGCCAGCCAGAAGCTTCCCTTGCCAGAGAAGCTGTTTAAGGATAAGAAGGAGAAATCCTGACGGCTGGCATATCCTCTGTACACCTATGCTAAGTGTCGCTCAGACACCTAAGGAGCAGAAGAGATGGTTTAAAACCAGGCAGAGGATAAGGGGCAGGCCTGATAACATGCTGTTCCCACAAGTTTATAGTGTCCATGGCAAATAAGATAATACTGCTGTCAGGAAGCAAGGCCATGTCCCCAGCAGAATCAGAGCAGTGAGTCTGACTCATGAATGCTGGAGAACAAAATCAGGCATCCAGAAGATCCTTAGCACTATCTTTATTAAGCACTGACAAGCTTAAGACGTTGTTTCAGTTGGTGCCTTGACAAACTGTGTGTGCCTCTGGGAACTGTGTCTTGGCACAGGTCACATTGCAGACAGGGTCTGATGTCTGGATATGATGTCATTGCCATCCATGCCTAGTCCATTGGTGTCAGGCACTTACTATGCCCTGTCTGACGCTGGCCCTGAAGAGTCATCCTCATTGACACCTGCTGCCAGTGAGCTCCAGGTTATTAGTGCCTCCATGTGGGAACCATCTGGGGTAGCACCTCTATCGCTCCCAGTGTGCAGATCAAGAATCAGGTGTAAAGGGTTCTTCACTTAGGCTAATCCCCTTAGCCTCTGGGCGAGCCTAAGATAGGGCTGGACTCCCAAGGTGACATTCCCCCACCAGACTCTCAGCATGGTACTTGCTCCCTTCCCTTGTCTCTAGACAGTGCTCTGAGCACTCACCTGAGCTCTCCTGATGCTTGCCTCTGCCCCTTGTCCCACCAGGAAGCTCATCAGCATCTCCTTCGGGGATCTGAACCCCTTCCCCCTGCGCCAGATTCGGAACCGGCGAGCCTACCACTTAGAGAAGGTCCGGCTGGAACTGACAGAGCTGGAGGCCATCCGAGAGGATTTCCTGCGTGAGCGGGACACTAGCCCTGACAAAGGCGAGCTGGTTAGCGATGAGGAGGAAGACACTTGAATGAACCCCCACCCTAGGATGCTGCTCTTCTTGCCTTCACAACCAAAAGTAGCAAAAAGGACTCTGGGCGTGTCTCTGCTCGTTCAGCTGCCAGAATGTAACATCTGTGGCCTCTGGGCATCTGCTGGGCAGATGTCCCAAACTAAGTTGCACTTTCCCGTCTCCCATTTGGGGGCAGGGGTCTGATGGCTTTACAGCCATTTCCATGTCATGGCATCCAGTCACGTGCATCACAGTCATGCGTGCTGCCTGATTGGTGCCTCGCCAGTTGACTGTTTCCAAGGACCTGTTTACAGCGTCTGCCAGTTGTGTGAGTGTTTGACCCTGCAAAAACTGCTATCTCCACATCTCCCCATGCTCTTTTTATTCAAGGACAGCACTGTGGAGGAATGCAAACAGGGCTTCAGCGTGGCTGCTTCCACAGACAAGAAAAGGTCATCATAAGAAGAGGAACCTCTTAAAACAGCGAGGGCACTTCTTATTCAGAATCAACCTTCCTAGATAGCCTGGGAGCCCTCTGCTGGTGGCTTCACACTGCCAGCCGCAGCCCCTTCTGGACACAGCCCTTCAGACTGTAGCCCTGCAGACAGCCCCCATACTTCTCATTGCCAGCTGTTTTGCCAATTACTCTGTCCCAACTTGCAGGGTCTGGGGGGCTGGCACACTTCCAAGAGCCACTGTGGAAAGCTCTTGTAGCTGGGAGGTGACTTGGAGATGCCACTCTCCAAGTGTGACTGGATTGGGTTCCAAGTGAGCCTTGCAGTAGGCCTACCCCTGCGAGAAGTAACATGGGGAACTTTCAGATGTGGCAGGGCTGTGGCTTGTGGGCTCCTGGATGGCAGTGGCCAGGGCTCTGTTATCTCATGCCCAGTGACTGGGTGGGGATTGGGGCTGACTGCCAGCTCCCTAGGTCTGTGAGCACCCTGCTTGAGGATGAGCTGATGAGCTCTCCCCAGGAGATCTCTTGTCTGGATCCTTCTTGTTCTCAGCAGGGAGCTGGGGTCTCTGTGGCCTCAGGCACAGTGAATGCTGGGGACTTGGAACACTTCCTTCTTGAAGCCCAGAGAGGGTCTGAACAAGGGAGGCTATTTTTGCTCAATCCTAAGCGTCCCTGATGGGCGGCTGTCATGAGAAAACATTGTCTAACAGTATTATCGGAACACAAGGGAAGCAGCCTTAAGTGGACTATCTTACACTACCTGGAAAAAAATCGGAAACAATCCTTAGCTAGTATAAACACAGTCAGACTGAGAATTGGAGCACGGCAGTTGTGAGAGATCTTTTTCCATGACTGGTCTTCCTGTTTTTACTGTCCACTTTCAAGCACTTGAATGGCTGAGTGGTTTTTCCGCATCTAGATTGCGCTCAGCTTCTCTGAAGGTTGCTTCATTTATTACCATATAAAAGGAGCTGGTCTCTATATTTAGCCAATAGCCTTTATCTCTTTTCAGGTATGGAAAATGTCATCATTGTGTATTAGGATGGTGGTCTGAGGCCTGGCTTCCTTAGGAAACTGTCTGAACTGGACCATGGTCTCGCTGCTGTTCTCGGGGCCTCCCTGGTACCAAATGCTGGTGTCACCCTTGTGAAATGATGGCTGTCAGCCTTGGGGACAGCTGCTAAGGAGGTGCAGGAGGATGGGGTTGGAGCCCCGTGGCTGGGCTCCCGCTGCCATGTCAGTCCAGATAGATGTGTTTGGCACAAGTGCCCTTCGGGCAGGGCGCTGCTTTTGTCCTGGGCACCCAGTAGAGGATCTTCAAAACACCTGGTGATGCTGGGACATGGCTAGTGTAGAATAGTGTAGTGTATGTGAGGCCATTCCCTGAGGCAGCATTACTTCCCCAGGCAGTTGGCATCAGTGCCAGGGAAAGTCTCTAATGGTCTCAGAGGAAATGCACGCCAGGCTCTCCTCCCTGGGATGAAGGACTGGTATGTGAGAAGGCATTGTGGCCCTCATTCCAGTGAGGGGACAGATGGCACAGCTCCTCCCAGTGGCAGACCTCCAGTGAGTTGAGTCATCACCTCCCACTCCCTCATCGCTGAGACCTGTCTTTGCCCTCCAGTGCCCCTGAGGTTCCAGACTTCAGACCCGCCAGCACGGCAGGCAGGTACCACTGACGTCGGGGGCTGCCTCATGCTGCTGCTCACCTGAATGTTTACCCAGCATGCAGCCCGTGCTCCTGCCTGGTGAGCCTGGTGGGCTGAGACACCCGAAGCATAGACTAGAGCACGCGGGGGGAGCACCCTGCCGTCAGTGCCCCAACTGGTGGGACTTAACCAATACTTCAACTGTTAATACTTTTATATTTTCACTACATTTTATATTTTTATAGACTATTTTATTAAGGGTTTTCCAGATGCTGTACGACTTTTATATAGCAAGTTCTATTTTGTGCGCACAACTCCCCTGTATGTATTTATATCAGCCCGAGCCTCCCAAGCTGCAGTCCCTGCCACCCCACCTTCACCCTAAGCTTGGCCACCACTCACTTCTGCTCACCCTCTAGTGCTACTTCCAGCCGTGCTGACAGCTGTTTACTTCTCCGATGTTCGCCATGTTATGTTGATACAGGAAGTACTCGAGGCGGGACCCAGCCAGGTTTTGTTATCTGTGTCGCGGCACACGCCCCTCTCACCCTGTACAGTGCTGTCTTCCTGATCCACCCGCCTCTGGGTGGGCCTGTTCAGGGAAGTCCTTGAAGACCGAGGCTGGATGCTCGCCCAGTGTCCGACTGGAGGACTTGAGGGCACACCACCAAGTGACTGTCCTTTTGTGTCACGGCAGCTTTTGTGTTGATCTTTGAGTTAAATGTTAGACTCACAAAGGGAGAAATAAACTAATTTGTATTACATTCTGCCTTGAAAGGTAGTTGTAGTCTTTTGTGACAGAAGCCTCTGCATGGTCTTGGAGCAAGGGGTGTCCATTTTGGTGGCCTCTCCAATCTGCCAGCCTCCTGATTCTTATGTCCCTGCCCTTGGTTCCACTGGGAGAGAAGGAACAGATGCCCTTCTTAGCATTGGTAGGCTTGAGTGCCTTGACTGAACTATGGACAAGGGCTGAGGGCAGAGGCCGAAGCCATAAGTGAGATACTGCCTGTGTCTGTAACCGTCCTTACCACCCCCCCCCCGCCCCTTGGGAGACAGGTACCCCATTACACCAGCTGTGCATGCCCAGCCTGAGTCATGGTTTGTTTGCCTCCTGTCTGGGCAGACAGCTCAAGCCCAGCTGCCTCTAGGGATTCCCCCAGCCATCTCTGGAAAAACACAAGAATGATTAGGACCAAATGTCTTTCCAGGAGGAAGGGGGGAGGGACAGGGCTCAACCTGGTAAACTGCTGCTCTTGGGGAGACATGGATTTATTCGGCAAGGCTGGGGACTGGGGGAGGAAGGGGCTCCTGGGGTCCCACAGCACTGTAGTAATAGCACAGGCCAAAGCTGGGTCAGGGACTCCAGGTCTCTGCCACAGTGCCAACCCCTGATGTGTATGTGTCTGGAACGAGGAAACTGCTCTGCTCCCATCTTTGTGGGGAGTTGCCATGGGCAAAGTTGTAGGAAGCCATTACTCAGAGTGTGGGTCCCCAAGGCCTCTTTGGGCCCACAGGGCTGCTGCAGACATAGGCAGGAAGCAAGCCCAATGCTCCTCCCCCTCAGCATGGTAGTAGTGCTCAGATGCGCACAAGCCACCAGTGACTTGGTCTCCTGAGTAACCTTGCCTGTGTTTGGCCAAGCCACATCCAGACCTGCCTGCAGCGTGGACTAGGAGGCAGGGGCTCAGGACCTATACTGGACCCGCACCTCCTAGTCACTTCCCTCCTCTGTGAACCTCCCCTGCTCATGTTCAGGATGAGATGGGAGAATAGGGAACCCAGAGCTAGACAGAAACGTTTACTCCTGAGAGCAACAGCCACCCTCTCCACTCCTGGGTAGAGGAGTCCGGAACTGGCACAGCGCTGGCTGGTGACCCTGCTTCCCAGTCTTAGGGAGTGATTCCAGTGTCCCCACATTCTCAGTGATCAAACGCCTTCATGCTTCCACATACGCCTCACTCTGGAGAACACAGTGTGACGAGTGTCCTCTCAGAGAACCCCAGTGCCTCGGACACGGAGGAGGGCTTAATAATGCCTTCCAGAAGATGTCAGAGGACAAGGCACAGCCAGAAGCAAGTCAGGCAAGGGCCAAGCCTGAGAGGAAGGCCTGGTTCTCCCCGGCACTGACCAGGGTCCAGAAACCTCTTCAAAGTGCCTGCATGCCCAGCTGCAGATCTGTCAAGTGCCTAAGTGGGAGACAAGACAGCCTCAGCTGCATGAGGACACGTGGCTCCACGCCTGTGAAACCCAGGACTCTGAGGGTCTTAAAGGAAAACAGCAGGCAGGGGTGCAGATTGAGTAGGGACAGTGAAGAGGACTCCCTGTGCCCCTGCCAGCCTGTAACCCCCTGCAAAGAAGACCTGCGTGCTCCTCCTGTGTAACCCTCTGTAGATGCCTTCATAAAAGTCATCTCCGCCCACTTCAAGAACTTCCATGTCCATATCAGGAATCTTTGCATGGCCTCTGTGCTGGCCATACTGGTCTGCCCCGCCCCCCCCCAGGAACAGAAAAGCTGCTGTCTGCTGAGGCTTCAACAAGGGACAGGGCAGTAGCCAATAGATAAGAGAGGTAGGTAGGTGCTGGAGAGATGGTTAAGAGGTCCTGAGTTCAATTCCCACTAACCACATGATGGCTCACAACCATCTGTAATGAGATCTGGTGCCCTCTTCTGGCCTGCTGTATACATAATAAATAAATCTTAAAAACAGAAAACAGAGAGGGAGGGTAGGTAGGTAGGATCACATTGGAGAGTCTTCAAATGCAAGACAAGGCCAAACTGCTTTGAAAGGGTAGATACTCATTTATGTAAAACGATAACAAATGTGCAAACTGTTAGAATAAAAAAATACCTTTTCTGAGAGGAACAGGGGTCCCCAGCCTGCCATTGCACAGGGATGGGGTTAGCACCATTAGGGCACGAGGAGCAGGGCTCCACCGCAGCCTGTGGTGGGGCGCTGAGGTCTGTGTGTCGTGGGTCAGTTTGTCTGTGCGTTCTGATGTGCACTCTGCTCAGGCCTCTGCTCAGCGTCTGGCCACCCTCTGATGGCCTCGGGAAGGGACACCACGGCTGAGCGGGGGACATGAGCGACAGCACTGGGCGCGGATAGTGGGTAGCTGGCAGCGGCCCAGGAGGCGCAGTGTCTCACAGAAGCTGAAGGACAGGCGATCCCGCTCACAACCTGGGAATGGGAAGAGAAGAGAAGAGAAGAGAAGAGAAGAGAAGAGAAGAGAAGAGAAGAGAAGAGAAGAGAAGAGAAGAGAAGAGAAGAGAAGAGAAGAGAAGAGAAGAGAAGGGATATAGTGGGATGGTTACAACCAGTGGACATGGCACCCAGACCGCACGTCATCGCCTAGTAATTAGACTGAAGGACCCTTCACCTCGGTAGCCTTAAGAAGAGTAGCAGCCAGCAGAAGACCCCATTTCTGAAGAAGGTTCCCAGAATCAGAGCCCCAAGTCCTTAGCTGTGGTCCCTGCCTCACCTGTCCTAGGACTGCTAGCACCATTGGACTTAACTTTGTGGAAGAAAGGTTTTGAGGCCCTATCCTTGACCACCTCGGGAGGCCATGAGATGCCCAAGAGCCTGCCCAGAAGTGATGCAAGCACCATCTTCATCCGGGCTCCATCACGGTTCCTGACAGGACCAGGTCCACAACTTGTGCCAGTATACACCACTCCGCATCCCTGCCACCGTTAGTGCCTCTGCTGCCGCCACTACACCCTGCCCTCCCCCCAGCCTCCTGTGGGCCGCATTCATCCTCAGCTTTGGTGTGGCGGGACAGCCGCCCATTTCATTGGGTCCTGAAGCCCAGAAAACTGGACTTGGCCAGGGCCACAAAGGCACCTAAGGCTGTGTGCAGGCCCCTGGTGTCAGGGCACAGGAGAGGGTGACAGCAGCTGAGGCTTGGCTGTCTCTCCTGGGAAAGCTATTTGGGGAAGTGGCTTGCTTCCAGAACCTTGGCCTCCCTCCCAGTGCTACTGCTTTGCTGTTGCTGCTGCTGAGGCCACAGCTGCCCAGACCCCTGCTTGCTTCTGCAGTCTCCCTGGGGAGGAGGAACAGGCGGGCAACCTTAAGCCCTAGTCTGAGACATCCCCGGGTGCAGCAGAGGGCACAAGCCAGCAGAAAGGTTCTCTGCCCCACCTTTTAGGCAGCAACTCCAAACTCGACCTGAACACTAGTTCCCCTGGGTTACCTCAGGCAGGCCCACCCACTGGGTGAAGGTTTCCTCTTGATAACAGCCCCCACCTCCACGGGGAAGTGACTAGGCATGTCAGTCGCTTTGCCATGGTGATCACACACCCTGGAGTTTCCAGGATTTCCAAACGTCCCGTCACACAATCCCACAAGCCATCAAAACATCCTGGAAGCTCCAGGAACTTGGGATCCAAGAGTATTCCCTGACTGGCAAGAAATTTGTCCTGTTGGTGAGCATTGTGTAGCAGCCTAGTCACTTCCCCAAGTCCCGCTGAGCCCACCCTCCCCATCTCCCTGGGGGACCTTGCAAGGCCACACAGCCTCCGAAGTCAGGTTATTTCTGGTAGAGCTTCGGTTTCTGCCTTCTCCCTCTCTGCACCACCTGGGATCATAGCTAACCCCAGGCCCTGCCAACCTTGAGCCTGGTGTGAGAGACGGAAGAGCCATGGGCGCCATCGGCCCCCGAAGGCAAGCACTGTGGTAGAGCACCCAGCTCAGCTGTGCTGAAGTGTCTTGGAGGTTTGGGGGACAGATTCAGGAAAATGATGAGAGCAAGACAAGCGAGGATGGCTTGACAAGCCCAGGCTGGCATTTCCTCAGCACCTGAGGCGATGAAATTCAGAGCAGAATGGCACAGCAGGGGCCACTCTGGCCCTGAGCCAGGGCGACCAGGAGCCAGCTGCTGGTCGTGAAGGCTGTGCAAAGCAGGGACAGGCAGATTGGGGCTGACACCCACAAACTGTCCTGGAAACGGATGCAGTGACCCAGTAGGTGAGGGCCAAGCTCCTGGGTTCCCTCAAGTGTCAGAGGTGGCCTCAGACTCCCCTGCCTTTCCTGTGGGGGACAATAACGGCTGCTGAAGAGGAAGAGTAAAGTGGCCTAACCTATGCTAAGCAGGGGCCCTGGCAGGACTGGGCCCTCAGACCCCACTAATACAAGAATAAGGGTTGCCAGCCCCTTTATGCATGAGGAGATGACAATCCAGATAGGGAACTAGAGCCCAAGACTACACAGCTGGTGAGCGGGTGCCCAGATGTGACTCAAGGGCCACACTGCTTCCTGTGTTCAGCATTGCTGGGGACAGCTGGAACCTCAGGAAGGAGGTGATTTCCAGAGCCATGTCTGGCTCAGCCCTTTGCTCCATAATGGCCCAGCTGGTCAGGAAGCCCACAGTCAGCAACAGCAGCCGCAGCAGCAGCAGCAGAGGAGGACCCTGGGAGGGAGTCCCCCCTGAGTCTCCACTGCTCACCACAGGCAGTTATCCTCCTAGGAGTAGACAGTGCCCAGAGCCCAACGAAATCCTCGCCTCACTGTGGGGACTGACCCCAAGGGAGAAAAGCCTGCCACAACTGAGAGGCCAGGGGGGCTCCTCCAACTCCCCAAGGCTACAGAAGCTTTCTGCAGGATGCCTGAGTGGCTGGGCTTCCCCTTGGCCGATTCCCAATTTTGGACCTTGGCACCCTGTGGCCTCCCAGTTACAGTGACCTATGGTTTGAGCGAACTGTAAATAGAACAGCAGCTGTTACGGGACTGACATCTGGATGATTCTGTAGCTCCCGGCCGTTCTTCTCCCTCTACCCCACCATCCCCAGGAGTAAGGAGACACTCACGTGGTAGCTCAACCAGCTCACAGTCCTCAGTGGCACATGGCCGTGAGCTCTCAGGCCAGGCCTCATGGCCACACTGCTCGCTGTCTTCCTCCGCCAAGCCAGTCTGAGTGTTCACGCATTTGACCAGACGCCGCTGAACGCCCCCACCGCAGGGGGCTGAGCACTGCACAGGAGAGAGGAGAGGGTGTCCCCAGGACCAGCCATCACAGTCGGGGACTGGCGATCGCTGGACAGCACGCCCCCTCTCCAGGAAGGCACCTCTGACCCAGTAGTGCCTAGTGCTAAACCCCCCTTGTCACTGGAGGCACCTGCCCTTGCAATGAAGGCAACATGAGAGTAAGAAGTGATGGGGGAAGTCCTGTGTATATGTCAATAAAGCACTGTTGGCCATTAGAAAACCAAGATAGGTGGGACTAGGAGTCCAGGAGGACTCTGGGAAGGAGAAAGACAGAAAATCAAGATGTAACGCCATGGGGTAGGAAGCCCAGAAACCTCTCCGGTAAGAGAAATACTTCGATTAGCAATTATGGGATAAATACTTAAGTCAGAGCTAGCCAGTAAGAAACAAGCAAGGCCAACAGCTTCATAATTAATATAGCCTCCTGTGTGTTCACTTGGGACTGATGCGGCTCTGGAACCAGGCTGGCGGGAAGGCTTCCCTTTACAAAGAAGGAATGCAAAACTCACCCAGGAGGCCTGGACAGAGAAGACAGACACCGGGGTGAGACCACGGTGCCCAAAAGACATGGAAGATGTGCTGCAAGCCATGGGCAGCAGAGGGTCTCAGCCAGAGTCCCCACCCTGAATCACCCGGTGCTCAGGTTTACTGACGTCACGCCACAGTCCCCCTGCTCTTCATTTAATTCTTCCACTCCTCTATGCTGCCCCCAATTTAAAGGTTAAAAAAAAAAAACAGCCCAGCAGGGCAAAGCTTCATTCATTCAGCAGCCAGTAGGCTAAGGAATCACTGAGATTCCTGAACCAATCAGCTCCCAAGAGACCCAGCAGACAGCTGTCCTGCCCTTGGGGGGCCCTCTCCTCCCCACTTCTGCCTCAGGACTCAGCACCTGCTACTCTCTTTATCCCTCTCTGGCATCTCTGACTCCTCTAGGTATCAATCCAAAGCCTCCTCAGAAGACCCCACACACAGCCATTTCCCCTCTATCTGAGTTTCCCTGGCAAAGTACGAGGACTTCATCTGGTCACCACTGTATATTTAGTGACCGCAGAGAGACCAGAACATAGCACACAGCTTCAAAGCCTAAGGTACGGGGCTACCTGCCAAGGATTGCTCCCAGTCCCTCCCCAAGGAACCCTGCTCACCTGACCCCAAGGCCCCACCACCCACTGCGTGCAGGGGTGGGTGTTGCAGGGCCGGGTGCTGTTGGGTCTCAGCGACTCCTCACAGAGGCCTGGCTCTGGGCATGTCACCAGACGCTGCTGTTCACCACCACCACAGGCCTCGGAACACTGCAGGAACAGGGAGCCATCAAGTACAGCCAGGGTCTGAGGGTGTCCCCAGTCCCTACCCCTCAGACCCAGGCCTCACCTCTCTCCAGGAAGAGGTATACCAGTTGAGACAGGGCTGGGTCCCACAAAGCTGACGGGTGGGTGGCTTCGTAGGCCCAGGCTGGCAGTGGAAAGGCCGCAATGGCCGGAGGTCCCGTGTGTCCACACACTGTACATCTCTTGTGGAGGAACCCCCGCCACAATTGCGAGAGCACTAGAGACCAAGAGACACACATGTAGGCACATTCCAAACCCCTGCATGCAATATGACCCAGGGAGGTTTATGGTACATCAGGGTTAGACCTCCCAGCCTGGGCCAAAGAGGTGACAACCCTGGTGGCTGGGACAGATGGACTTAGAGTCCAGTGGTGGGTGGTGGGGACACAGGAAAGACAGCAGCACTAGCTGGGCCAGGCCAGGTGGTGCTGAATGGTGAGCTCCTGGAGATGAGGATCCGGGTGCAGACGGTGGCATGGCGCTCACCCTTGTCCTGCTCATCTCCGAACCACAGCCATGAGACCCAGGGCTCCCTCCTCACCTTACTCCAGTTGCCCGTGCGCCAGGCAGCACAGGGCCTCAGGTGACAATGGCGGGCTGGCTGGGGGCGGCTGGAAGGGGTGCAGTCCTCATCCCGGCCAGAGCTGCAGCGCACCAGCCTCCAGGTGGCGCCCAGACCACAAGTGGTGGAACACTGTAGGTCACAGATGCCCTCTGTAAAGCCAGACTCTCACCCTGCCAGCCCTACCTCAGAATGCCACACATCTTTATCTGTAGAACAGATCCTCCACCCACCTCCCAAGGGGACTGGCAAAGAAAAACTCAGTGTCACCAGCAGTTAACTCTCCCCGCTCCCAAGAGCCCTGTAGGCCCACCTACCTACCCTGCCATCCCGTGGCTTCTCACTCACCGGGGAACTCTGGGCAGCTAAATGAGTAAGAACTTGTCCCTCTCCCCACAAGATTATGGATCTCTTACAATGCCAATCTAGAGAAGGGACACGGGCCATCTTTTTCCCATAGAACTCAGACTGTTATGGGATCCCTAGCAAAAGAGGGAGAGACTTTGAAGGGTGACAAAGGGTGAAGCGTCTGGAGGTGTCTGCCTGTGTCTCAGCTAGTCCCACCAAGCCCTCCCAGGCAGTGCTGGGTCCGAGAGCCATGGGCGGAGGCCTTCGTTTCCATTAAAGCTGGCTAAGGTGAGAGCCCCAGTATGAGGACACTCTTCCAGCTGCACTTAATTTGTAGCTGCTACAGACTTTCCTGAAGCCTTCCATGTAGCCTGGGAAGGGCCCTCTAAGGACTCAGATCTCAAGCAGATGGGACCCCTCGCTTCACTTCACCTCACAGCTGGGAAACTGAGGCCCAGTGGGACAGACTAGCCTCAAGGCTGCACAAGAGCTGGGATAATACTCTCTCTGTCAGTCAGCTAAGCCCAGGGACCGTTGTGCTATTCTCCAAGGGAGGCAGGATGAACATGGCTGGGTCTTACTCTGCTTAAAGCTGAGTCCCAGGGTCCTGCTCTCCAGCTTCCCACCATCCCTGGTGCCTACAGCTCACCTGGCTCCAGTTGCCCACTTGCCAGCTGGCATTCGTGGCAGGCTGTGGGTCTGTAGGAGAGCCATCCTCCACCAGGCCGGGCTGCAAAGGCAGGACCTCAGGGTCCTTGCTGCTGTTATTATGAGTCTCCTGAGCTGGCCTAGGCAGTGGCACAGGGCTCAGGGTCCCTTCAGGGTTAGTGGGCTGTGGCTGGCCCATCGGTCCCGGGCTGCTTAGATCAGTTGGTGCTGTCGAAAAGAAAGTTCCCGGCAATGCCAGAGTTTTCAGGTTCTGTGGGGTTGAAAAGGTAGGAGTCCCTGGCTCCAAGGGGCTGTCTCTGTCCCAGATGGCTGGTGCAGTGGCCATGGGAGGAAGGAGAGGAGGTGCCACCTCCACAGTAGGCACAGACTTCAGGTCACCCTCTAACACTGAGTCCCAGGCCACAGGCACTCCTGTCCACACCTCTGCCACATCAGGACCAGGAGAAGCTTGGGTGGTGCTGATGGAAGGTGAAGAGAGCTGTGTGGGGATAGGGCTTTGGGGAAGGGCTGGTGATGTATGGCCCAAGGTGTCCTCATCTTTGGAAGCCTTGTTCCTGTCAGACCATGGAGTGGGTGGCTGGTCCTGCCTGTCTTCCCTTACTAGTAACTCATCAGAGGTTCCCGGGTCAACAGGTGTCACCATCTCATCAGCTGAAGCAGGGGGCCAGGGCAAGCTGGTGAGCCCAACTTCAGGGGTCCCCATGAGCATATCTTCCTCAGACAAGAAATTGGCCAAGGGATTCACAGGGGTCTGCTCTAAGAATACAGGTGGGGAATGGCTATCCTGATTGAGTGAAGGGCTAGGGGACCAAGCTCCCTGAAGCCCCTCTTCCTTAACTCCAGGAGTTCCTGCAGTAGGCACTGAAGTATCTGAGGGGGGTTCAGTGAGTCTGATGTGGGGTGGTACTGTCCAACCCCCTGCATCAACCAGGTCTGGGTGGGGTTCTTCATAAGATCCATAAGACAGGTCTTCATGGAAGTTAATGAAATTGTAGTCATAATAGAAGTCATCCACAAACACAGGCCCCGGCGGATCCGGTTCTAGGTCGCCCTCGTCAATAGCGTTGCTGATGCTAACTGGCTTGGGTGAGGATGCCGGTGAAGGGCGTGGGGCCAGCCAGTGTGGGATGAAATCAACTTCATTGAAGAGCTCAGGGCTGGAGGAACCACTGCCAGAGCCATCTGTGCCCGTCATGTACACGGGGCGGGGGCAGGGAGGCAGAAGACAAATGGCCTCAGTCACCGGCCGCTCGACTTCATCGCAGGGGACATCAGTATCATTGATGCAGAGGACAGTTCGCTGCCGAATGCCGGCTCCACATGTCACAGAGCACTGCAAAGGAGACCACAGCTCAGACCAGGGTGGGGCTTTTGAGGAAGCTGGGGCAGGCTGGCAAAACCTGCCTACTGCTGGTATCATAGTGACAGGGGTCTCAGCCAGCCCTCTGTGGCCATGCTTAGTTCAAGATGGCAGTCAGCATGCTAGGGAATTCCTGACCCCCAAGCTTTGAGAAAAGGGTTGTCCCAGGAATGCTCCAGGCTCCCTCCACCCCAGGTAGCAACCAGTAAGGATGCTGTGCAGGTTGTCTGGGGTAGCAGAAAATCAGGTCCCCTTTCCTCCTTACACTTACCTGAGACCAGTTTCCCACACCCCAGGTGGCGGGACAGGGTACGTGACGGTTGCATGGGGTTTCAGCCAAGGGTCGAGGAAGATGCTCACAGGCAAGTGGTTCCAGGGCTCGCTGCTCATCCAGCCCTACACTGCGTATGCAGAGCACAGCCCGGCGAGAGAGACCTCCAGGTCCGCAGGATCGGGAACACAGCTGCCACTCCCCTGCCCACCACCTGGTAAGGGACACACGGTGGTAACAGTGTGACATTAGCAAAGGTAGCCATTGCATGACTCCAAGACATTGAGGTACAGACAGGGCAGAATGGAGAATAATCCTCAGAGAGTCAAGCCTCAAGTTGGTGCCCTGTCCCTGAAGCCCAGTAACAGAGCCCTCTTGACTCTTGCCACCCTAACCCCAGGGACCTGGACAAGATACCCAGACACCCAAAGAGGAATGATCAAATGCACTCCATGGACTGATGCCTCTGACTTGGGAAAAGAGGCCACAAGCTACCGGGGTCCTGATGCCAAGGCAGGAGCAGGCCACCTAGGAATTGCAAGTCTGGTGGGGGACCATAAGCTCACCTGGCGGGACAGGGCTCCTCGCTGCACTTCCTCTGGCGGTCATCAGGCCGATTCAGGTGGTCACAGTGTTCCTCATCCACAAGTCCAGCCTGCCTCTCCATGCAATACAAGCTTTGTCTCTGCACACCTGGAAGCCATGGGGGTTCAGCCTGGGCTCCAAAAGATAAGCATACCCTCTCTGCCCAGACCCTCACAGAACAGGGTTCCCCTGACTCTGCCAGGGTGAAGGCAGGCCTCCATGACCTCACACTGCCCTCCCAGCCCTCCCTCCATGACACCCTATGCTGGGATGCAACAGAGGGGTGGTAGGGTAGGTGGCCCACCCACTGCTTCTTGGTGGTGGCTTTGGACTTTCAGCTCTACAAAATGGAAGTAGATTAACAAGACCCACTTCAAAGCCCCGGGGTGGCATTACATGTGACCACACACAAGCAGGCTCAGGGAAGGATTCAGCAAGCGTGAGTCTCACCTGTACCACATGTGACAGTGCACTTGCTCCAGGGCCCATAGTGCCAGGAGAACTCAGGTGGCCGCACCTCATCGTGGCTGTCCCTGTGGATGGTGTACTCATAGTGCACCCCAGGGTTGCTCTCCTGGAACAGCAGCTGGAACAAGCAAGTGGGGGCCTGTGAGCCCGGGGACCCTTCGCCATCTGCCCAAAGCCTGTGTCTGGTCATCCCCAGCCACCTCTGTGAACTGAGCTATACTGGTGACCTACTCTAGAGATGGGAAAACGGATGCTGAGGTTCAGAGGTTCCATCAGCTGAGCCTGTCCCAGAATCACACCCTATGACAGCCCTAAGGTTTCCCCTGTAAATCCTACCTTGGGGACCACCCCGTTTATTCCTCCCATCCTGGCCTTGAAAGGCAGGTACCTGGATCCAGACAGGCTCACTGGTAGGCCCAGGGGATGTGAGGTTCTCCCAGTTGCCTGTGCGCGCATAGGTGAAGGTAGTGCCTGCCACCTGGTAGTCTCCATTCCACTGGATGGTCCAGCCGCCATTGAGGAAGTACTTATCTGGGTCCTCACTCCGCAGGGCCAGAAAGTTGGCAGCCTCAGCCACCTCCTTAATGAGGATCTCTCGGGCTCCGGCTGGGATCAGGCCTATGTCCACGTACCCTGTTGGCAGGGGTTGTACAGGGTTTGGCCCCCGATAAGCAGTCAGCTGTCCCCGCCTTCTTGCTTCCTCACATCAGCTCAGGACTCTGAACCCCTCCCCCCTGCAAAAGGCAGATATTATATCTACTCTGGGTCACTTAGGTCTCGGAAAGGGCGCACAGATCCTTCCCCTCTGACCCATGACCCAGCATCACTCTCCTGGAAGACTGAACAGCCTTGTCCATCATCTCTCCCATCCTGGAAAGCCAAAATGCTTGGGCCTTTATCCTCTTCTCTAGTCACCTCTCTCTTTCAGTTACATAACACTGCTCTCAGATATGCCCAGCGCTACTCCATGCCATAACATAGGCACTATTGTTGTCCCCATTTTGCAGATGAGGAAATGAAGCACTGAGGTTGGGTGCTCTGCACAGGCTCCTATGGGGATATGAGTCAGCTCTGGGAAATAATAGCAAGCTACGGAGCCCAGCATTATAGCCTCACAGCCCGCATGCCTTACAAGGCCAGGCTCTACAGCAGGCTCTAGCTGGGGTTCTCCTCACCCCAGTCTCCTGAGTCCATCATTATCCAGCTCAGTCTCTCCTTCCTACAGGAAGTCGTCCTTGACTTGCCAGGTCAAGACATTCTTGTTCGGTGTTTCCTTCCCTCCCTGAAATACATAGCCTACCACATTCATCACCGAGAAGGTTCTGTCACTCTGAGAGCGCCTCACCCAGGTGCCCCCCATAGTTGAGCACACAGTTGGCACTTGGGCCATATGTGTAACTCAGCCCCCAAGGCTGAGGCATGGCACTGGGAAGGGAAGCGTCGGAAGACATCATGTCTCTGAAAGGACTACAGGCCACTCACAGTCCCTAGAATAGAAGGACCCCTAGGGCAGGTCTCACCTGGGACAGGGTCTCACTGACTTCTCTAAGGAGACCCCTGTCTTTCATGTCTAGTCTAGGCAAGGACCACAGGGGCAGAGAATAGGATTATAGGCACACATTCGCAGACAAGGGGTCCCAACCATACCCAGGCCCTCAGCCTCCTCGAAGGTCCTGCTCACGGTGTGGCAAGTAGAGCCATTGCCCTGGCAGACACCACAGCGGTCCTCCGTGGCACCAGAGTCGATCTCAAAGTCGCAGCCCACGTTCTGTAACAGAGAGAAGGCCCTTTGTACTGGCTGTCAGTCCCCCTAGGGTATCCACCAGGGTGCAGGACAAAGACCCTAATTGGAGGTCAAGAACCCCTGCTTGGGTCCAGTTCCAACACAGTCATCCTTCCTGATACACATGAGCGCCTCTCTCTGATAGGAAAGGGGGGGCATCAGCCCATACCTCAACAGAGTGTTGAGAGCATCACATGAGACAAAAGTCAGGAAATCCCCCTCAAATAAAGCTACAGGTAGAGTCTAGCGCATAGTGGAATTTTCCAGAAATAGGATTCAATATCAAAGACACTGGGGGTAGGCCTCCTCTAAAGCCAGGCCTTTAGCAGTAGCTTTAAAGGCAAGAAGCAGGGTAAGGAAGGCACCTGGAGCCCTGGGCACGGCAAAGCAGCGGTATGAGAAACCAGAACCGTTACCAAACGCAGTGCTTTCTGCAGCCCAGAGCCTGGCACACCACCAATACCACCTAGTCAGCCCCTGCCTATCAGAGAGGAGGCAGTCGCCTGCATCCCTCCAGGTTCTGGTGTCATGACTGGGGCTGTACAGGCAGCGTGCTGGAATGAGCAGTAGGCAGCCGGGGGAGTGGCTGAGAGTATGGAGCCAACTGTGGGGTGTCCAACGCCGGAGACAGCGGGGCGGAGGCTTTGTCTTAGAGTCAGTAGGCAGGGGAAGAGGCTGGTGTGCAGCCTAGAGAAGCCAGAAGAGACCTAGAGGCGGACGCACTGCCGGCCAGTAAGGCTAGGAGAGCCCCTTGCCATCCCACACACCTTGCAGAGGCCATTGATGCAGATGTCACGGCTGACCCGACCTTGGTAGCAAGGGGTGCCATCCACCACGGCATCCCTCATCTTCTCTGTATTGGAGTGGTTGGAGGGACGGCAGTGCAGCTCACAGGGGTTCTCTGAGGGGACAAGTGGAGGACTCGTGGAGCGAAAGCAAAAAAGCCAGCATTGCAGAGGCAATCAGGAAAACCCCTTCATCCTCCATAGCGTGCATCAGCAGTAGGCCAAGGGCACCTGGCAGGACTGATAGCCATCTGCAGAACTGCAGATGGGGAGCTAGGAATAAACAACTACTCCAAACAACAGCAGGGAGCAGCCAAGAGCTGAGGGTAGTATGTGGACTGCTGTATGTGGGCCTGTATCACTGGGGTCCATACATCCCCCACCCCTGGCCTTGGCATCCACGTGGGCAGCGGGACTCACCATCATTGACCACGGGCACCCATGTGTGCAGTTGGCCCTTGTAGGGCATGGCGTCAAACTGGCTACACTGGGTGTGACGGAAAGAGGGATGACCCGCAGGGCAGGGTGGCAGGTTGCAGAGCCGGAACCGCTTCCGCTCCCCCACACAGTACTTGCCTCTGTGCTTAGGCCTATGAGGAAAGCCATGGGGCTATGAGCATGCTGTTAGCACCCAATGCCAAGCAAGCACCCAGAGTCCCCTGCCATCCTCAGTCACGCTGCTCGACCCTCAGGGGCTGCCACTCTCTGACCGGTACACATCCTTCCTGCTTCCAAAGATCTACGGAAGACTGGCGACAAGAAGCCTAGGTCTGGCCCAGACCCGCTGTGTGACCCTGGGAAATGCTCTGCCATCTCCCAGGCCTCAGGTTCCTCATCTCTAAAATGGAACTGGACTGCCTCCAAGGGAGTGCTGAGAGGTTAGAACATGTGGGAAGCTGATGGTCCTATGTCATTAGAGTTGTTCCTGGGGGGAGGCAGCACCCTGGGCTAGGTTGAAGGAAGCCTCCAGGTTCTACCCAGGTGAGACACTACCTTGGCTTGGCATCTAACCTGAACCCCATGTAAGCCAGGCCAGCCCCACCCCGGCTGAGCTGGAGGAAGAGACGTGTGGAGGAGTAGAGACCACAGGCTTGGTGTAGCCCCAGCCCTGGGAAGAAACTGGCTGTGAATTCCACCTCCTTGGCAGCCAAGCAAAGAAAATGTGCCCAAGGGTGCCAGACAGCCCCTGTCTCATTGAGTCTCCATAGCTCCCTTAAGATAAGAAAGCTCAGCCAGGCGGTGGTGGCGCACGCCTTTAATCCCAGCATTCGGGAGGCAGAGGCAGGCGGATCTCTGTGAGTTCGAGGCCGGGCTGGACCGATAGCCTCCAAAACAATACAGAGAAACCCTGTCTCGAAAAACCAAAAAAAAAAAAAAAGATAAGAAAGCTCATTCCAGGCCTCGGCCACCCCACCACCCACCCACCCACCCCACCACCACCCTGGCCACTGCTGCCCAGTTCTCCCAGTCTCCTGGGATGCCTGAAGTAGCTTGTGCTGGGCATTTCCCCCAGCACCGGGAAGGTTCAGGCCTTACCCATGCTGCCTGACTTCACTCAACGGCAACTTAACTAGGAGGGCTCTGCTAGCACCCCAGCGTCTGGCACACTGAGGTCCAGATGAGCAATGGAGAAGGAATGCCCTTGTGTGAGGGCGGAGGACCCAAACCCTGAGCATCCCAGGGCCCAGACTCTAAGCAGTCACCTCTGCCCACTCCCCGCACCACTGCCTTTGTTGGGGAGATGCAAAGTCTTTGGAGCATCTCCCCAGGCTCTTGGAGAGCACTCCCCTCTCTGCAACGGTGCCAGCTCTGGGGGGAAGGCTCCCTAGAAGTGGCCCGTGGCGACTTAGACACTGGACTTGGCCATTCTAGGGACACTTCTGAGAGCCGGATACTGGAGCAGAGGTAGTCTCTGCAAGCATCTGGCTCCGTTCAGGTCCTTGATCCCAGCCTGGGCCCCACACTCACACAGGCTGTGTGCACTGTCGTTCAGCACTCCGTACACCCACGCCACAGCTCCTCGAGCAGACAGACCAGGCACTCCAGCCGGACCAGCCACCGTCCACCGCCTCGGGCTGGAAGCCCTCAGGGACGCACTCTCCATTGAGACACCACTACTGAGACAGATGGAGGCAGAGCAACCCAACCCCAACGCCTGTCAGTCATCCTCACCCCAGTGAGAATGAAGTGAGCAAGGCAGTTTCAAAAGGCAGGAGGAAGGAAGGTGTAAGATAGACTTTACGGTCGCCCACAACCCAGACACCGTGCTGAAGATGATTTAGTACTAAGAGAAACTGACGGTGAGAATCATACCCACATTTAGTGGTGGCAATTTGGGCCAGAGAAGTCTGAGGGTCACTTCAGAACAGCACAAGATGATAAGCTAAAGTTGACCCCAGGGAAGTCTGGCTAGGTATGGTCAGGAGAAAGGCAGCCTCCCCCACCCCATAGTCAGCCAGGGTTGAGGTTTCCCACCTACCTTGTTTTTCCCACATCTGGTGCCGTCCACAGCTGCGTCCAGCTTGGAGTGACAGGTGGTCCCCACGGAACACCACAGTGTGTGGCAGACATTCTGCAAAGAGGCATGTGCATCATCCTCATATTCTCCCCAGTGGTGCCAGCAGTCTGTCCCTGTTGTCCCCCAAGAGCCCCGGGCAACTTTCCACAGGGGCAGTACATCCTGAGTGTGCAAGTGTGAGGGTCCTCTGGCCCACCCCGCAACAGCATGCTGTCATGGGGCCCTTGGGAGGGGCTGCCCTCCAGGCTGGGTTGGTGCTGAGAGCTGTCTCCAGCTGGTCACCTCTTTCAGCCCCGACTACACCTCCTGAAACACGCAAGGTAAAAGCTTATGTCATGACTTTACCAGACCCTCTGTGGGACCCTAAAGCACAGATATTTTTGTTTTACTCTTCTTAGCCAAATCCAGAAGGCTAAGGGCTTGTCCAAAGTTGCCTAGGTGTTGATGGAGAATCCAGACCCGGGCCTGTGGCCACCGAAACCCGGGCCTCTGCCACAGGTCACATTAGGTATCACTGTGTCCCTTGGGAGTCCAGCCCAAGCCAGGCAGAGTTTCTCAGAGCCTGGCATTCTCAGGCTGTTGAGGGCCACCGACTGTGCCTCCCACACTCACGTCCATGTCCTCACAGAAGACTGAGTATGCCCCATACTGAAGGCGACACTGGTGGTTCACATCATACAGGACACCAGGCAGCACCGAGGGGAAGCCAATGACATCCTTGGCTGGAGAGTCATCCAAGCACAGGCCCCACCCGCGGCTGCAGAAAACGGGAGGGGAGGGTACAGTGAGATCCCCGGGCCAAGAGTGCAGCCTGAGACCCATGGGAGAGGCACAAGGCACGGGGAGGAAGAGCGGGCCAGGTGGGACTTCTGCAAACGGTAGGGAAATGACAGGCTTTCATCTGGCCAGTGGGTCATGTGACCCCAGCCTAGCAAGGCAGCCCCGTAGACCTCTCTCGGCTGCCTGGAGCTCCAGCCAGCTAACAAACACCCCACCCCTATTGCAGGCCTTGGCACAAGCCACTGTCCCACCACAGACACTCTGGCACCCTTCTTCCAAGGGTCAGGTCCTCAAGTGGTTATGCTTTTTATCTCCTTCGGCCTCTACCCCTGCTGAGACCCCGGGGCCAGGCTGGATTGGGTCAGATTCTGGAAACCATCACACCACAGCTGATAAAACAAAAGGCCTCTAGGGGAACAGCTGCCCAGCAACCTCCCGCTCTGACCTGAGGGCCTGCCCCCTGATCCTTACTCCCCATTCCTTCCTGCCTTCCTCTAGCCAGCATTCCAGGGCAATGACAAGAGAATCGACCAATATGAGCAGGTACAGCTCATGTCCGTCACACACTCCTTCTGACCTGGTGCCCAGAAAGGTGGTCACACAGCACCACCAGCAGGCAGGGGGCAGGGAGGCAACAGGGCTCTGGAAGGGGCATCCCAAGTCCCATGCAACCACCTCTGCCTTAACTGTGAATGTTCTATGAGGTTGTCTGGAAGCAGGAGGGTGGGACCATGCTGCCGGCTTCCTAGGGCTCCGTTTGGCCCTTCAGGGATGGGAGGGAGGGTCCAGGGCCCACAGCCTAAAGAGAATTGAGCCACAAAGATTGGCGACTATGTTACTGGACAGAAGGGACTCAGTTGTAAATAAAAGGAGGCAGGATCTGTGAGGACACAGGTCCAGTCAGTGGGAAATGAGAACAAGCCAGGTAGACTTGGGAGCCAGGATAAGCAGGCAGAGGGAGAAGTCCAAGGGGGTGGGGGGAAGAAGAAATAGAATCTGGCAGGGGGGGGGGGAGAGGGGACACTAGTCCCTTGTGAAACTGTACCAACTTGCTAAGGGCAGGGCACCTATGGGCTTGATGCTGGACAGATAGAGAGCTGGCGACCTACCTCTCTAATTGGCTGAGGATGTATATGGCCCCAGTTGACCTCTGATCCTCTCTGAACTATCACATCCTCATGTCTACGTGGCCATTCCCAAACTGTAGAGGTACCCACAGCAGTACCTGCGTGGGAAGTCACAGAAGGAGCTGGAAGCTGGCCTTCCCTTCCTCTGTGGACGCTGTATGACCTTGAGTGTCAATCAAGCTCTCTGGACCTTCTCACCCTCATGTGTAAGAGGCTGGCCCCAAGCTATAGAAGTACCCAGTGCAGTGTCTGCTTAGGAAATGTCAGAGGCAGCCTTTCCTTCCTCTGGCAGGCTCTCAGCCAAGCTCCTCACACAGCCAAACGTACACCAAGGTCCCCACATCCATCATCCATCCCCTCGGGGCTCCTCCTTGTGCTAATTATGGCAGGGCCAAGCCACCCCACATAGGGTCACAGTAGGCTGGGGATGACTCCAGTAGGAAGCTTTACCGTCATCTCGATATTGGGAAGAGCAGTCAACTACCCGTGTGCCAGTTTCCCTCCTAGGCCCTAGTTTCTGGTAGAAGAGTCGCTGCCCAGGAGATTGTTGATGACATGAAGAAGCCCACACTCCCCCAGGCCTGCCTCCCACTCTGTAAAACTCTGACTTTAAGAACAGGCATGAGCACGATCTCCCTGGCTTGACCAGGAGAGGCTTGTGGATGCTGCAACCTCTGCATCACACCTAAGAACCTCCTGGGGTTCTTCAGGTAGGCTGCCTTAGACTAACTGCAGATGCACATTCACAACCACCCAATCAGTTTCCCTAGGTTCTGCCTCTGCCAAGTTTCCTGCATGCCCAGCTTCCTCTTCTACCTGGCTTCAGTGTCAGCTCTAAAAGCCCTCAGAGTATGTCCCTGACTCCAAGAGAGGTCTTTGTCCCTCTACTCCTTCCTACACCCCACACACACCCAGGACAGCTACCAAGTCCTCATCACTTGGAGTTATGGTGCCTTCATCTTTGTATGGGTGAGGTCCTACAGTCAGACGGGTTTTGTGTGTGACCTTGGCCTCTGTTACAAGTGTGCCTGTGAAGCCAGCGAGGGGAAGCCATGTGTCAGTCTACTGGCTCAGGAAGAGATAGTCACTGGGAACCGAGGAGCATGGCTGTATAGGGATAGTGGGTGGTCTGTACATGATGCTGAAAGTTCTCCAAGCTGTGGAAAGACTGCTGCACCACCCATTCAGCACCCACCCCTTCAGATCCCCACCCTGTTTGGGCAGAAATGTCCGTCTCCTGTCCCACCCCAGCGAGGAGCTAGTGGGAGAGAGTTGGAGCAGCCGCCACCCTGCCTGTGGTGGAGGGTTCCTCTGTGTTCCCTTCTCCTGGACTTTGCACCCTTGCCTGTTCACTCAAAGATGGAGCACAGAAGTGGGCCCGGTGGGTGACTCTCCCTCCCAAGCACCCTCAGGTGGTGGGTTCCATTTCCATCTGCAACTCAGACCTCAGGCTCAGGCACTCTGCCTCTTCTCCTACCCTGAGCCCAGGCCCCCAGCCAAGGCTCTCATACATTCCAGCGCCTAAAAGAACACAGAGACTTGCCTGTTCAGCTGTCTGTCCCTGAGCCAGGGTGCTGGGTGGCACTCTGGGTGGGGCAGCTGGGAACAAGCCCTGTGGGTGTTTCAGGGTACCCACTATTCTCATTTCCCAAGAAATCTCATTCTCTGCCCCTCTTTGGGGGAGGCTCACCTCCTCCCCAGCCCAGGCAGCTTCTCTGGTTCAAATCCACAGATCAACCACTTGGTAACTATAGGAAGAGTAACAGCAACCATGGCCATGTACTGACTGTGTACAATGTGGTAGGCACTGCACTAAGTGTGCCTCTGGCTTTCTTGGTTAATCCTCACAGCAAACACTGAGCTTGTCTATCATGATCCCCATTTTTGGAGGTTTAAGGGCTAATGTAACTCATCTGCCAACACAAGGAGACTGGGCCAGAATCCAAATTTTAACAACCAAACTGAACTCTTCAGTTTCCTGTTGTCACCCCTCACCCAAATCCCTCTTCCAGAGGAGACCTGTGTCCATGATCTCACCAGCCTGGGGGCCCTGGGCATGCACCAGCCTACTGTCATAGGGAGTGGGCTTCCAGAGAACCACAGCACACTGACCAAGCAGGCCAATCTCCTCTACTCTCTGCTGAAGCTCTTCTACATAGACATTTGAGGCATAAACAAAGCATAACTCCTCCCGGGCAGAGGTGGAGTGATGACAGCAAGTAAACGATGTCAACGACATTTCTGGAAGCTGCAAAGCAGATGGGTGAACAGTAGCTGACTTGGTAAAACGACAGAAGCTGAGAACTAAAGCCTGTGGGGAGAAACACAACCCTAGAAGACACTGGAGTCAGGATCTCAGAGACTCTTAGCTATCTGGAGGCCAGGAGAGCTGAGGACAGAGCTAATTTGAAGGATTCCATTCCAACCCTGTGTGCCCAGGTGATTGTCATTACCCTGCCCAGGTGAAAAGAGACCTAGGAGGATCTGGCCTAGGAATGCCAGTCACCGGCAAAGGCCCACATCAGAGGAACCTATAGAGAAAGCCACTAATACTCTGCACAATGAAGAATGAGACACCAGCAAGCTCTTGTACTATCAGATGCCAGCAGACAGATGTGACATGCTCCCAGGAGACTAGAGCCTTCTCTGGGTATTCCAAGTCACACAGAAACATGACCTCAGTTTCTAGCATATAAGGAGCCCCCCCCAAAAAAGCTGAATCCCAATAAGCCCTTCATCAGTGAATCAAAGTTACAGCCAAGGCTATAGATCTCCCAGTAGGCAGCTGTTTCTCCTTCTCTATGCAAAACATACCAACACATTTTAAGAAAAATCTCTAAAATGAAAGAAATATGTTCAGAAAGAATAAACCAGGCCCTGGAGAGATGGTTTCTTGGTTAAGAGCACTTATTGCTCTTACAAAGGACCAGCATTTGGTTCCCAGCATCCAAATCACATGGCTCAAAGAAGCTTCTAACTCTAGTGCCAGGGGATCCAATGACTTCTCTGCAGGTACTGTACTCACATGTGCGTACAATATAAATACAATCAATCCTAAGGAAAAAAAAAACATAACCCAAAGAAAAAGATTTCAGGCCAGGCAGTGGTGGTGCACGCCTTTAATCCCAGTACTCGGGAGGCAGAGGCAGGAGGATCGCTGAGTTCGAAGGCAGCCTGGTCTACAGAATGAGTTTCAGGACAGCCAGGGCTACACAGCAAAACCCTGTTATGGGATAGTTGTACATTGTATGAAGGTGTGTTGCTGTGGTTGGTGTAATAAAAGGCTGATCGTCCAAGAGCTAGGCAGGACTTGCAGGGAGAGAAAGGAAGAAAGAAGAGATTAATCAAGGAGAGCAGGAGACATCATGGAGATGTGGGAAATCAGACATACAGAATAAGAGAAAGGTAAAAAGCCACATGGTAAAACGTAGATTAGCAAAAGCAGGTTAATTTAAGTTATAAGAGCAAATGGGACAAGCCTAAGCTAAGGCCAAGCTTTCATAATTAATAAGTCTCTGTGCCATTATTTGTGAGCTGGCAGCCCAAAGAAAAGTCTGAATACAATATCCTGTCTCTAAAAACCTAAGAAGAGAGGAGGAGGAAGAGGAGGAGGAGGAGGAGGAGAGAAAAAGATTTCATAAATTCATGTAAATCTGAACCTCAGAAAGAGCAGACAAGGCACTTATGAAGAAAGACCAGGTAAAAACGAGTATTTAGAGATTATTAAAGCTAAGAAAATAAAAAGTACAATAAAAAAGTCAAAATTCTAACAGTGCCAAAGGTAGGGACACACATGTATAACACCAGCACTTGGTGGATGGAGGCAGAAAGATTGGGAGTTCAAACTCAACTTTGGCTAGATCCCAAGTTAGAGGCTAGCTCGGGCTGCATGAGACATTCATCTCTAAGCAAGCGAACAAAACCTTTAACAGAATAAGTATATGAAAGACAAAGCAGCACCTCTCTGAAAAGAAGATAGAAAAAGCCCAAAAATTAAGGGAAGAACAACTCAATATCACAAGGGTTCCAGAAAGAAAAAAATAGATTATCAGAAATAAATAATACAAGAACATCTCCAGTAACTGAAAAACATGGGTTTCTAGATGAAGACAGCCCGATAAATGTTCCCCCAAATAAAAAGAGACCAAGGCACATAGTTATGAATTTTAAAGATGCCATAAAAGAAGAAACAGAGTCCTAAAAAGCTTCCAGACTGTTTAAAAGCTCACATTCAAAGACATCAGGATAGGAGTGGTGTGGGGTATCTCAACAGCAATGTTGGAAACTGGTGGATAATGGGGAAAAAATGCCTTCCACATTCCAAGGGTGACTGGGTACCAAATCACACCACAAGCTTGTGTTAAGGAAGAATAAAGACATGTTTAGACAGACAGCTTATCTCTATGTGCCCACTTTGGAAAGATTCTTGAGGGTGTGCTCCATCCAAGCAACAACAAAAGATAATCCCTCAGAAAGTAGCATGGACTTCAGGAAACAGGAAGCCTCTCTACAACAGCTTTAGGGAAAGCCTAGAAAAGTAAGTATCCAGTCTACGGAGAAGACTGGGGGTGGTGTACTGGCTGCTTTTGGGTATCAACTTGACACAAGCTAGAATCATCAGAGAGGAAGGAGCCTTACTTGAGGAAATGCCTCCATGAAACCCATTTCTCAATCAGTAATTAATGGGGGAGGGCCCAGCCCATGGTGGGTGGTGTCATCCCTAGGTTAGTGTCCCGGGTTCTAGAAGAAAGCTGAACAAGTGGGAGGATGGGGGGAGGGAGGGGGAAGCAAGCCAGTAAGCAGCATCCCTCCACGGCCTCTGCATCAGCTCCTGCCTCCAGGTTCCTGCCCTGTGTGAGCTCCTGTTCTGACTTTCTTCTGTGATGGATTCTATTGTAGAAGTGTTTATGCCAATAAGCCCTTTCCTCCCCAACTTTCTCTTTGGTCATGGTGTTTCATCACAGCAACAGAAACCCTAACTAAGACAGGTGAGGAGGTTACAGATCTGGAAAAGAAAGAAAATAATAAATTATGTGACAGGGATAAGCTTCTAAAAAGTCACATTCTAGAAAGCAGCATGGTTAGATGTGGAAGATTTATAAGAGGAAAGTTAGCCAGGCAAATTAAAACCTTGTTATGTGGGGGCTAGATAGTCAGCTTTGTTGTTAAGAGCACTGCCTGCTTCTCCAGAGGACCCAGGTTCAATCCCTCTTGCACACACATGGCAACTCACACCATCTGCAACTCTAGTCTGAGGGACTCCAATGCCTTCTGACCTTCACAGGCACCAGACCACACATGATAAAGCTATATATGTAGTAAGCTTGCTTTTCGAAGACTTTCCCATACGGTGGGATACCTTGCTCAGCCTTGATGGGGGGGGGGGGGGTGCTTGGTCCTGCCTCAACTTAATGTACCAGGCTTTTGTTGACTCTGAATGGGAGGCCATAACCTTTCTGAGGAGTGGATAGGGGGGGTGGGTTGGGAGGAGGTGAGGAGAGTGGGCAGAGGGGAGGGAGAAGGAACTATAGTTGGTATGTAAAATGAATAAAAAATTGTAAAAAGATATGCATGCAGATAAACCCTTATATACATAAAATAATTAAATAGTTATTTTTAAAAAATTCTACCTTGTTATAATAGTTTGTTCAGAAAAAATAAGCACAAAGCCTTAATAATAAAAGCATTTAATATGTATGTATTTGGTACAGTTTTAATGCGAACTGTCCCCCATGGGTTCATAGGTTTGAACACCTGATCCCCAGTAGGTGGCACTGTTTGGAGATGTTAGGGAACCTTTGAGATGCTAGGTCTACAGAGTGCATGCAAGCCACTGGGTGAGGGTTCTGAGGGTTGTAGTCCACCCAATCTCCAACCCACACTTTGTGTGCTGTCTGAAGCTGCAGTTGCCCCAACTGCCTCAGGCTCTCACCTACATGGATAAAGCCCATCCAGCCGCCACCCCTTACCACCCATGATGGACTGCATCCCTAAACAGCAAGTCAGAATCAATCCTTCCTCCCTTGAGTTGTTTCATCAGGGATCTGGTCACAGTAGTGCGACAAGTAATACAATACTTACTCGAAATGTGTTAGAGCTATTTGGGACTGACATAGGAGAAACAAGTTTGAGTACAGGAATGAATGCAATAGGGCTAATTCTCAAACTTCCAGCTAAGATCTAGAATGCAAAAGTGAGAAATAACAGTCTAGGGGTGCTTTTGTGAAAGCACATCTGGATGGGAGCCACATAACTTAGGGTTGAAAGCAGTTGTCTTGAGAGAAAGGAATAAACCACTCCAGTTGACATTTTTAATTTTCCATTGTCTTTGAACCTCAGCTCTGTCAGCAAGTTCTGAAAGGACACGGGAGCATGTGCACAAGCAGGAGAGACACACAGTGTCTGCATCCGTGTCCTTCATCACCCTGTTTGTATATAGCAAGCACTCTTCCTCATGAGCACGGAATCGGGATAGACCCACTGCATGTCTGGAAGCTCACTAAAATGGAGGGTGAATCCATGCAGATACGTGTACCGTGCATACAGCCGAGAGAGGAGCATGGACAGCCCTAAAGGCTACACTATCACTCAAACCCAAACTCTCTTCCCATGAAGAAAGAAGCATTGGTTCTGGAAACAGTGCCTACTAATGAGCAGCCACGTCCCTTCTTGCTCAGGTTGCATGCCTGCATTAATTAGCCAATGACTGTGCTGACAATGACGACACAAGAGGAAAGGACAAGATAGGCCCCGTAGCCATCTTTTCTTTTGGGTTGTTCCTTATCGGTAAGCAGAAGGTGGGCCACTGGGAATGAATGAGCATGTGGAGGAAAGAACTCAGAAAACAACAGAGTAGTCTAAGTAGTTTGAATACTTTCATTCCACTGTCCCAATGAAGATCACGCAGAAAGGCCAGTTGTGCAACTATGATCATTCTGCATGTTCAAAGCTGACACTAGCATTTAAGATAAAACTGGCGGCAGGGGATGGACACAACATTTCCAAGAGTATGCCTGGCCACACTGAGCAGCAGAACCACACTCCTGATCTATACAAAGTGAAAGGATAGCAGAATGTGTGCTCAGAAGTTGGTTAGGGACCCAGTAAGGTGGCTCAACAGGTTAAGCAGCTTGCCATGCAAGTCCGGCAGCCTAAATTTGATGCCCAGGACTCACATAAATATACAAGGAGAGGACTACACACAGTTGTCCTCTGACTTCCATACATGCACTGTGGTGCACACACACACACACACACACACACACACACACACACACATGCACAAGCACATGGATACACACACAAATATACACACTGATAATTTTCAAAAAGAGAGAGTGTGAGTCGGGTGGTGGTAGCTCACACCTTTAATCCCAGCACTCAGGAGGCAGTGGCAGGCAGATCTCTGTGAGTTCAAGACCAGCCTGGGTTCTAGGACAGCCAGAGCTACACAGGGAAATCCTGGACAGAAAGAGAGAAAAGAGAGAGAGGAGGGGAGAGAGAGAGAGACAGAGATAGAGACAGAGAGACACAGAGAGAGAGAGAGCTTTAAAAATAAAAGGAGGAAGAGAAAAGGGAGTAAAAGAATTTAGAGCTCAGCAGGTAAAGACACTTGTCTGACAACCTGAATTAGAACCCCAGAACACGCATGATGTTGTTCTCTGACCTCAAACATGTACACCCCAATCAATAAATAAGGGCAAAAGTAATTTAGATTTAACCCTTTTTCTTATTTAAAATATTAAACAGGAATGTAAAAGAGCTCAGCAAAGTAAGTGATTGAAGGAAGGAAACACCTTCTATTTTTGCTCCTCTTTGCCTGGTCTCACTGGGCTGTGAAGTTGGCCACCCATCCTCCAGTATCACTCCTTGCCAGCCTCGGCTACCAGCATCTTCCTACTCCACACAGTAATAGCCTTCCCTGTCCGCAGCAGGCCCACCTCCCTGCCCTGGAGCCCGGCACTTCTCCTCGATGGGCCCCCATGAGCTCCTGCCCATCCTCCAAGACACAGCACAGGTTCACTGTGCAAGACGACCCTTGAGGTCCCGTATCTACCAGGTGCCCCGCTACCTGGCACTGCATCCTGCCATGGGACAACAACCACAGAGACAGGGCCCGGCTAGCAGGCTGAGGGAAGGACTTACTCGAGGAACCTGGTGATGTACTCGCGGCTGCAGCGGGACCAGGTGAGCGGAATGCCTCCATCGTACAGGAGCTGTGGAGACATGATGAAAGGCCGTTTCCCAATGGACTCACAGTCATTGCTGGTGCCGTCATGCTGAATGCCAAAACTGCGTGAGAGCACAGGCCCCAGGGGCAGGTGAGCAGCAGGAGGCCACCAGGCCTCCTTCCCATGGAGGCCTGTAAGGGGTACAGTCCCCAATTCCCAGGGCTAGCTGTCACCTTAGTAGCTGTGTGGCCTGGAGAAAGTCACACACCCTCTCTAGCCTGTTTCTTTAAGACACAATACGGGGGTGACAGTGGTATCCCCTGGGTTTCCCATCTCCACGGACCATGCTGAGCCTGAAATGAACCCGTTTTGAGACCCTCAAAGCCCCAACCTTGTCTCCAGAGCTAGCCAACAATGGCAATCCAGGAGACACGACTGGGGGGTCTGTTGTAGCCCTACATCCTCACTGGCCCCAAGATGACTTCAGGCTGTGAACTTGAGTTAGGAGGTCTGAACGACCACTTTCCAGGAAGGTCTCAAGAGACCACCCTTAGGAAGGACTCAAGAAAAAGGTCCTGAGCACCAGCTATGAACCAGGAACCATGCCAGCTACTAACTCACTCAGCCCTCATCACCCCGGAGAGCCTCAGAGAGGCCAAGGAACCAGCTAGAGTAACATAGCCAGGACACAGAAGGACTGGGGCCACCAACACAGGCATGGCTGTCACTCAGCTCAAATCCTCTGGCCCATAGAACTCTCTGGCAGCCTGCCATGAAGCCAATTCACCAGCTAGCCAACCCTGGCACAGGTGGCAAAAGGCACAGGTCGCGTTACACTGGAGCCACAGACAGAAGTGACATTACCGCGTCCAGCTCCCTCTGTCTATGGGGAGCACACAGAGGCCCAGAAAGGACACGGCACTTGCCCAGGGTCAGGGAGTAGGCAGGAATGGAAGCAGAGTGACAAGAGTCAAAGATGCCAGCACGGAGGGCAATTAAGGGGTAGGCCAAGGCTCCTTATACTGACTGGCCATCCCCACTGCTCTCACACGACATGCTGCAAACGGCTCTCAGCCATGCTCCCACAGGCCTCTCTCCTGCTTACAGGAGGGCAGTCTTGTTGAGGAAAACAGGGACGGTGCTGGGGCTTTGTCACTGGGAGTGCCATCTCAGACAGTATCATTCCCTGGGGTTTTGTGACCCATGATCCTTCCTGGCTGGTGCCCAAGAGTGGAAAGGTAGTGTTGGGTTCCTAATTAGCAGGGAGGGCAGGTGACTTACCTGTGTCCTAGCTCATGGGCCACAGTGAAGGCGAGTGGCAGGCCAGTGTCCTCACTGACGCTACAGCTGAGTTGAGGGTGGCACATGCCAGCCACGTGAGACAGGCCCAGGGTTTCACAGGGGTGGTTCATGGCTGCACACAAATCTTTCCTGCAAAGAAAGAAGTGGTCACAGGCAGGCTCAGTCCAGCTCCAAGGAGACAGGGAGCAGCCTGGCCCACCCTAGATCAGGGAGCAAGGGTGCCTCTTCTCATCACTCTGACATTGGACCCACATATGGCCATTTGAGAAGCTGGCGCCTTTGCTCACATACAACCTTCCCACAACAGTGGGACCTCAGAAAGGGATGTTCAAACAATTCCAGCCACCATACCCCAGTAAAGGGAAGATGACTCCTGGTGAAACACTGACTCTGAACCAAAGAGATAGCTTAATGGGTAAAGGCATTTGTGGTCAGCCTGATGTCCTGAGTTAGATCCCTGGAATCTACATGATGGAAGGCAAGAAGCAATATCTGCAAGTTGTCCTCTGAGTTCCACATATGTGCTATAGCATGTATATATGCATGCACATGAACACACACTCATATGCACACTCATACGCACGCGCGCACACACACACACACACACACACACACACACACGAATAAATGTAAGTTTTAAAAGTTGGAAAAAATAAAGTGAGCATAGGTGAGAGGGAGGGAATTGAAAACAAGCAGCATGAGAGTAACTTTGAAAGCCAGTGCTCTGTAAACAGATTCTCGGCCACCAACCCACACAACTGAAAAGCACAACACTGCACACACACTCTCCACATACCATACACCACACCACACATACTTCACATGCATCCCATATACATAGATAGACCATATACGTACAGCATAAACACATATACCACACACACACACACACACACACACACACACACACACACACACACACACACCAGTGAGTCCTGAACACATCTTTGGATTGCACCTCTGTCCACTTCCTGCTTGTGTTATCTAAACTTCACTGGGAAAGACATTACGGTGGGGAGCTGGGGTGGCTGCAGGTGTCTCCATATTGCTTACGACAATAACATGAGACTCCTCAGTTCTAAGGCCCTCTCCCTTCCTGGTGCGGTACCTGGTGAGCAGGATGGCAGTATCATGGTGCTGTGGATGAGCGTCCCCCTTCGTGTTGATGTTCTTCTGCCACTTGCAGAAGCTCTTCAGAGTGTTGTCTGCATGGTGTGTGACCTTTAAGTCCTTCTGGGGACAGAAAGAGTGGTGGCTCATACCTCACACTGAGCTCTGAGGGACAAGCCTAATTTGCCTCCACGCCAAGCCGGGAGTCAGAAATCTAAGGGACAGAGCAGCCAGGCCCTCGTTCCTCGACCCCTCTGTCTGTGACCTGGCAGAAAGTGTCTCCATGGCCAGAAGTGTCAGAGGATACTATCAAAGCCAAGGAGGCCTATGCTTGTCCTTGCACATAGGTTAGTCGAGGCACACGCAGGCCGGGAGAGCCCCAGCTTAGAACCATACGACTCCTCACCTCCTCGTCTTCCAGCAGGATAAGGCGCACAATGGTGATGTGAATGGGGTTCCCAATGCTGGGGTCGTGAAACAGTCCAGCCACCTATCCGAGAGGGTGCGAGAGGGGATCAGGCTGAAACTAGGATATAGGATATGGAACCCAGTGTCCACCCCAGCCACCCAGGAACACATACATCTGACCACACCCCAGCTGCTCACAGTGCTGTGGGTATGTATGCGTTATGCCCGCATGTCGCCCCACCCAGCAGTGGCAGATCACACACACAATCCTGGAGCCTAGAGGCGGCTTCCTAGGGCTCTGGCCCCTTGAGGTCAGAGATGATGAGGATAAAGTGATACCTGGGGTTGCCATCACCCCATATTCAGGCTGTGTGTCAGCCCCTTAACCACCTGCGGGAGAATGTGAAAGCCAAGCCCACCTCTTCCCAATAGAACATGCTGAGCCTTGAAGCAAAGATGCCTGATCCTTGGTTACCCACGGGATGTCATGGGAGTCTCTTAAGCCTGGGTAGGTCTCACTGAGCGTAAGTCTTGACCCCCAAGAGACTCTCCTGATAATGACAGGGGCTCCAGCTAAGCTGCTGCCTATTTTAAGTAGAGCCTGTAAGAGGTGACACTGGGAAGAGCAGGACCTCAGGGCTGAGAACCCTACCCTGCCCTTCCTCCCCTGTCCAGAGGCCAAGCCCTGCTGTCCAGCAATAGCCCCTATAGCCTGGACTTCGGTGGCCACCTCCCTGTGCAGACTCAGCCAGAGAGGCATGAGTGAGACCCCTGAAGCAGAAGGCCTCAGAGGCCCTTGGTTCCCTAAAGAGCAATGAGCCAATGATGGTATCCAAGCTAGGAAAGGCTACCTCAGAACTACACTGGATCTCGAGGACTCACGCACAGTGGGGCTGTGATGTTGGCAGGTGGGCGTCAGCCATGGCTGCAACCCCTTCTTTTGAGCCCTGGCTTCACAGCCATACATACTAGCTGACCTCACAGACACTTCCTTTAAGGTGGCAGCAAGCGAGCCCTGGCCTTGGGGACCGACAGAGCAGTATAGCGATCTACACTCCTGGGAAGCTACAAGGATCAGCCTGGTGGCCTGCAGGTTCCTCCATGCCCCCAAGGAGGAGGAGGCCCTGACTCTACAGTCAACACAGGGGTGGGAGGGTCAGCCACCCATATCTCCCTTTGTGTCCCATTTCAATGTCCCCCCCTAAGCCATCCCTGCCGCCCTTGTAGCAACTGCTGCAGCCTCACCATGTTCATGATGGTCAGTACATAGGTCTCTACTTGTGGCTGCCCGTGGTACTCCACCATCTTGGCATCAGCTACCACCAGGGTCTCCACCCATTTCTCTTTGCTGACCGATCGCTGCTGCCTCCGCCTCCGCTGCTGCTGTTCCCAATGCTCTGGCCTATGCTCCAGTTCTGGGGACAATGATGGGCAGACATGGAGTGGGTGAGATCCCCCAGGTTCTGAGCTGTAAGGCCCCCAGTAACACTGGTTAGTCTAGAGTAGAAGCAGGAAAGAGGGGTCGGAGGCTCCTCGCCAGTGTCCCTGCTGGAATTGGCTACGGACAGCCCAGCCACCTGAGGAAGAGCGATTGATGGAGACAGAGACACCTGAAGCAATTCGTAGGGAGAGCAAAGGAAGATGAGTGTTAACATGGGCAAAGGAAGTGAGCAGGAGGGACAGTCCAGGGGAACTGTCAAGTTCATGCCACAGGTTAACGAGGCTTCAGAAGCTAAGGTGGTATAACTGTTTGAATGTTGTGTCTCTCTAGTCCAAGGAAGCTGGGCATGAAGATATTGAGAGAGGCTCCTAGAAAGGACATGTGTCTCTGGGTCATTGCTAGCCACAACTCCATAGGATGGTACATACCTTGCACTCCACAGGTGCCTGGAGTCCTTGAGTCACCCTGCTGAGCCCGCTGCTCGGGGACTTGGTGCTTGTATACCACGTGGGGCTGGGCATGTCCAGCCTGAGCTGGAACTCCATGGAGAGGCTCGATGAAGTAGTCCTCATTGGAGAGCTGGAACACACCTCTCTGGGGAGGACACACCAGGGTCACTGGAAGAGGCCTGCTACCTGGCTGCCTTTCCACCAACTCCAGAGGCTGCCACTGCCCAGCCAAGTCCCACCTCCCTAATCTGAGCCCAGATAGGGCGGCTCCCTCCTGCTGGCCTAATGCTAATGCTTTCCTTGCCCTTCTACACAGCCAAAGACTTCAAAGCAAAGCACTGGCCCTTACTAGAAGTCTCTTGAAATATCTCCAAGGATCCTGCCCCACCACCATTAGGAGGGAGAAAGAGGCCTGCATGAAATCTAACAGGATGACATTTTACACAGTCCCAGAAGGCCCTCCTGAGTCGGGTGGCCCATGGCCAGGCCCTTGGGATGTTTTCATCTCCTTTGCCAGCCAGTCTTCTCCAGCTACTAGGTCCCCTCCTAGCTGGTCATTGCTTCCCATTGACCTCTCCAGTCTCCCTGAGGCAATGAATCACTCCAAAGGCAGCTCTGTCATACCCAAGCCACCCCGTTGCCATGACCACCAAGACATCCTGCCTCTTGGGTCCGTAGCTGGCCAGAGAAGTCAAGCTGGCAAGAGTGCTTTGGGCACATCTGTCTGGCACAGAGTTCAGAGAAGAGAGGGACATGGAAAGCTTCCAGGCAGTGCACCAGCTCTGGAGCAAGCCTGGAGCTCCAATAGAGAAGAAAGTGTCACCTCCTTTAGACTTTCCCATTAGCACCAATTAGACCCCTTGGGTCACACAGAGTCAAGAAGCCCAGAGTACTAAAGGTGCACCTGCTTTGGGGACTACAGATGGGGTTTTGAATCAGCCTCCAAAATCCCTAAATGACTGGTGACCTCAGGCAAGGGCTTCTCGAAGCCTGCTTCTTAACCTTTAGAATAGGAAGGAGATCTCTGCTCAGCTGCCATGCAGGCTCAATGAGAGGAACTTCGTGCAGCCGAGAATAGGCTCCTAAACCAGAATAGGTTACTGCACAGACAGGCCTCTCAGGCCTAGGCCTTCTGCAGCTCATAGTGCATGCTGCTTGTTGCTGGTCCCATAATTTTCACCTGAGCCATTTTGGCTGAGAACCCTTTGAAAGCCATGGACGGCGGTGCGTGCACACCCTGTTCCTGCTGTACACCGTAGGGTGCTGGAAGCTGCAAAGAGCAGATGAAAGCTGCCTGGAGCCGAAGATGCCTTAGCCTTTGCTAGTAGAACCCCACCAGCCATCAGGGCTGCAGGCAGTGGCAGAACTGTCTTAGAGGCTGACAAAGGAAGAGAGGGACTTCAGGGGACCTCTGCTCTGGGCTGTAAGGCTAAAGTCAAGGGACACCTAAGTGACTCTGCAAAGAATAAGTCATAATTGATACCCCAGAGAAGTAAGCAGCCAACTGCTCACTTGGCCTCTGCAAGCTCTCTTCCATGTGGGGGGTCTCTGGAGCAGTAGCTTCTATCCTACCCAGGGCATTCTCAGAAATTCAAGAATTGGGTCCAAGCCTTGATAGAAACCAAGGCCGACAGGAATCTGGCCCACATAAAACTTCCTAACTTTCTGTCCTTCAGAACAAGGAGATCTGTACTGTCATTACTGTTTCCTTCATGAACACAATAAATGGCAAAGGAAAGGTATATTGACCAAAGCCACCATGCAGAGTCAATGTCACGCCAACCCCAGCCCCCCCCCACCACCACCACATGCATCCCAGAGAACTCACTAGGCCATCACAGGCGCTGATGGCTGCAAAGCCACCTTCCAGCTCTGGGTCCTGCACATCACCAAGCAAATGGCAGGTAGGGACACTGGTTCGGATGTGCACATGGCCTAGGCTGCTGCGACGCCGGATCTCACTCACAAAGCCGGGTGCCAGGAGATAGGGGTTGGTGGTCAAGTTGAAGAGCAGCTCCCGCCCTCGGTACTGCAGCTGGTAGAAAGCGGATGAGCCCTGGGTGGCAGACACATCTCGCTTGCGCAGCACTCGTGGCCACAGCTCATAGGACAGGAAGGAGCCTCCAGCGTCTACTCGCACAGGGTGCACAATGTCCAAAGCCGACCGGCCCTCGGTTGCGAGGCCTGCAAGAGAAAGCAGCATTCGGGTCCAAGGCAGACTCAAAGATCTAGAGAAGTGGTCCTCAGCCTTCCTAACCCTGCAACCCTCGAATACAGGTCCTCATGTGGTGGTGATCCCCAACCCTAAAGTTATTTCATTGCTACCTCATAACTGTAATTTTGCTACTGTTATGAGCCAGAGTGATGTAAATATCTGTTTTTCAGTGATCTTAGGCAACGCCTGTGAAAAGGTTGTTCAACCCCAAAGGGGTTGTAACCCACAGATTAGAACCCACTGTACTAATGACCACCAGGAACTAGAGAAGGGGGTGGCTAAGAAATGTCAACTGAGGCTAGAATGCCTAGACTTAAATCTCTACCATGGCTAGGCCCAGTGAGGCAGGCTTGTAATCGCCACATAGGAGGTAGGAATACAGTCCCCACTAATAACACATCCAATCTCAGAAGAGCAAAACTAAACCCTCCCATGCTTTTTACCAGCTTTGCTGTCTCATTACGCCATGCCTCGGCTTCTCCATCTGAATTCCTATAGTAACCTTTTTTTTTTTTTTTTGAGACAGGATTTTTCTTTGTAACAGTTCTGGCTGTCCTGGAACTCTGTAGACCAGGCTGGCCTTCAACTCACAGAGACCCGCCTGCCTCTGTCCCCCACCACCACTCCCACCCCCAAGTGCTGGGATTAAAGACATGCACCACCACTGCTCAACTTCCTACAGTAACTTTTTAACCCATCTCTCTCCCTGCTTACACCTCAGGAGCCCTCTGTCAACTCATTTTCAACATGGCAACCAGAAGGGCTCATGAGCTTACAGTGCTCACGATACTGCAGCAACTCCCACCTCTCTCAGAACATAACATAACATTATAGCAGTGGCACATGAGGCCCCAGGCAAGGAGAACTCTCCAATCTTGTCTCCAAACACTTCCCTCTGCTGGAGCCTCCAGCCCCTTAATGTCCCTCATCAGGCCTGATGTGTCCTCACCTCAGGATGTGGCATTGCTCCCTATGTCTGAACGGCCTTCCCTCACTTCTATACTAAAGTACTGTGTTGTCAGAACAGGGGCTTTCAAGCCAAACCTGGCCCTCAGTCCAACAGTTTTCACGAAGAGTCACACTATCCTGAGTACCAGTGTCAAGAGAGAATGACTCTACCCCCGTTTATTCAAGTGAACAATTGCTATTGACAGCGCATCTTGAGGACTGATAACGAACTTATTTGTGCCAACAAAGAAAGAAACATGTGACTATACCAAAACAATACCAGAAACACCAGACCTGGGAGCTTGTCAGACCAGGTGGAACCTTCTCACTTTAAACTTTAAAGGAGCCCCAAGATTGAGATGTAGCAGGCACACTGACTGACCACCAGGTAGGTCATGAGCCTTGTCTAGGAAAAGCACCATGCCAAGGGACCCTCACATGTCCTGGGGCTTCAGTTCAAGAAATTTTTTTTTCTGTCAGGGACCTATGATTCCTTTCAAACTGGCACTCAAGACCGCCACTGATGACCAAGAGTAGTACCAAGTGACATAGGGGATACTCTGAATTACAACGGAGAAACTTGATGCCATCTCTTGCGTTGTGTCTGTTTCTGACACGGTTCACGCATGACATCCTCCTTTAAGCCCTTGCACAAACATCTCTCTGTGAGGCCTCCCTTGGCCGTTTTACTTTAATAATGGGACTCATCGGGTTTCTCTGTCTCCCTTCCCTGCTTTATTTCCACACACAGTAATGATACACACCATCACTTTTTTTTATTATACGTCCCTTTGTTTTCTCCTTCCAATGTCATCCCATCTAGGGAAGTAAGAATCTTTCTATTGTTTGCTGAAGAATTTTTTCAAGTGCTACAGAGTTTGGAACTTGGTTGGTTGTTTTCTGGGAAATATTTGTTGAATGAATGTGTAGACCAGAATAACTTACATGTCAGGGGCTCTTCTGAGGACTGAATGTACTGAACCACCCTACACACAGCAGTGCCTGGCCCACTGGACTCAGCAGACATTGTTAGGCCTGCTACTCGGCCTCGTAGATTAGAAAATGTGTCCTCAGATGCCTGCGGGATATGCAAGTGTCTGTTGGCCTCCTGGGATGGGGAGGAGGACCACCCAGATGGGGCTCTCTGCTGCCTTTCTACCGCTGCCTCGGCGGAACACCCTTGACTTCCTCTCCCTTGGAAAGAGTCCATGTGAAGGAAGGGATCCTGAGCTGCAGAATGCCCCAAGACCTCCCTCGGCTCAAGCCCTCGGGGTTGGAAGACCATTCTCTCTATCACTCTTGCGTCGCCCAGAAAGGAAAAGGATTCTTCATATTGTTGGTTGGTTGTTTGTTTGTTTCCAGGCATCCCTTCTCAGAAACAAACATTTGTAAACGTACAAGATAGAAGAAAAGACCAAGAAAGTCCACTGTGTAGAAATAACCTTGAAAGTGGAGCGCAGAATTGCGTGGTCATTCATTGGGTTGTTAAGCGAGGCCAAACAGCAGTGTTAACAACTAAGGTCACTTTGAAGCAGCAATGAGCATCAAGGTTTATTTCAAAGTATCTGCATCAGTGAGACAAAAGTATTTGTGGGGCTGGAGAGGAGGATCCACAGTGAAGAGTGTACGCCGCTGTTACAAAGGACTTGGGTTCGGTTCTCAGCACCCACATGGCAGCTCACAACCACCTGTGGCTCCAGTTCCAGGGGATCCATTGCCCTCCTCTGGCCCCCTCAGGCCCCTAACCACGTGCAGTACACATGTATACACTTAACATACACAAAATAAAATAACTCTGTTGTTGTTATTTCATTTTGTTTTTCAAGACAGAGCCCTGGCTGTCCTGGAACTCACTCTGCAGACAAGGTGGGCCTAGAACTCACAGAGATCCACTGTCTCTGCCTCTGGAGTACTGGAATTAAAGGCATAAACCTCAACTGCCCAGCTAGCCTACTGTGGAGCTGAGGAAGATAGTGCTTGCCCTGCAAACATGAGTTCAATCCCCAGAACCCACATAAAAACCCAGGCCTGGTGATGCACGCTTATAATCCCAACACCAGAGAGGTAGAGACGGGAGGATCCCTGGGTCTTGCCAGCCAGTCAGCTTAGCTAAATTGGCAAGCTCCAGGCAAATGATAAACATTGTCACAATGGAGGTGAATGGCCACCACACACATGTCCTTTAGCCTCCACACATATGTGCTAATATTGGAATCCACTGTATTCATAAGTAAATATTCATACTCCATAAATTAAATGTGTTGGTCATATTGATAATTAAAGAAAATGCTAAATATCACTTGAGGTTATAAAAGCTGGAGGTATAATATTTTCTAATCCAGGTTCATAGCTTCCTGGGATTTGTGGTCCTTTGGACGGAAGACTCTAGTCTGACATACCAAGAATAAAGTATGTCAGACTGCTTTCCAGACAAGAAAGCAAACAAGAGCTCAGAGTAGTAAAGTGGGCTAAAGCCACACATTGAGCATGAGAGAACTGAGACTCGACCCCATTTCCCAAGTTTCTTCAGTAATGTCACTCTATACTCTCAGAGGTTTGTCTGTTCCCCATCGTCTATATGAAGAAACTTGATTAGGTAAGTTTCCGAGAAGTTCATAACTTCAAAAGAAATCTCAGAGGGCTGGTATGGCTTGGATGGTAGAGTGATGAGTTACATACATATAAAGCCCTGAGTGCAATCACCACCTTGGCCAGAAGCTTGTCATGGTGGCACACACAGATCCCAGCATTTGGGAAGGGGAGGAATGAGGATCAGAAATCTAGGATCATCCCTAGCTGCATAAGGAGCTTGAGTCCAGACTGGCTTATTTAAGACTCTTGAAATCTCTTGTGTATGCCTGCCTGCATTAGTGCTCTGAGTCTCCTGCTCTTGTTCTCCAGCCCTTCCACTCTGTGAAGTCCCTAGACTCCAGGCACAGCTAGGAAACTTATTGCTCTCATTCATTGAGGTCTCATCCAGTCCAGGTGCTGTTAGTAGCAGTGATCCCTCAGGCCCACAGAAATATTCTGGTTCAAGTGTCCTGCAGATATATCCTGAGCTCTCTTTGCTGCCACCTGCCAAGTTGGGAGGCTATGCCTACTCAGAGGCTCGACTGTGGCCATGTCACAAATCCTCCCTCTATCTACTGCCAGAACTCATGCAGGGTGCCCCTCACATGCCAGTGGTGTACCTCTGCTCAAGACATTGCCCTCTGCCCACAGCTGCCCTTCCAGCCAGCGCCTTCTCTGAGAGTCAGGGGACGACCAGTGAGCTGGGAAGGGTGGCTGTGTAGCTCTGAGCAAGTCTTTCCAATCAATGAACTTCAAGGGGTGGTAAGTGCCAAGAGTTCCCAGACTTCCTGGACAAGACTTTCTTAAAAACAAATTCCCAGGCTCCATCCCACTCACTGAATCAGCATCTCCAATAAAGAGGATGAGGAAGCTCCATTTTTTTTTTTAGCAAGAGCCCCAGGGAACTGGACTTTGAGGAAGTGTGGAAATCTCCCACTGGGAGTGAACTTGGCTAACTGACCATCAACAGTACCTACAGAGCTTTGAAAAGGTCCAGGCACCTAGTACCTAGTCCACAGACTGCTATTCTGATTGTCTTGGGCTCTAGGGTCCCAAGATACATATGCTGTGTAATCATACCTTTGCAGGGGTTCTGGCTGGGTCCTCTCAGGAGCTAGCATGCTTACTACCTTTACATTCTAATATGGGTATTTGAGAATACTACCCCATAACCATAAACTGCAGGCCTGTTTCTATTTATTGACACAAATATTGGGGGGGGGGGGGGGAGTCAATTTCCAGTGTTTAAGAGTTATACGATCTTAATGTAAAAATTTCAATTCCCAGCCTTCCTTCAAGCCTTGTCATCTACATACATGAGACCTAAATTCCTACGGGTCCTAAAAGTGGGCTGAAGGAAAGCAGTAAGTCCTCTTTAGAGGACCTGTGTCCCCCATCTGTCTCTGTCCCCCCTACTTACTATTGTTCCCAGCACTGAGGCTGTGTATAGATAGGTTGCCTGTTAGCATCATGTATGGATTTTCTTTCACTCAGTAAAAAATTTCATCTCTAACCAAATTGGGAAAGGCAATAAACAGGCCAAGAATCCATTATTTCTAAACAAATACGTCTCTCCACCAGCCTTGTTTGCTTATTTCTGTTATGAAATGCTGGGTTCCCAGTACCCTCAGCTACTGTTTGGAATCATTTGGTATTCCAAAGTTCAGAGAAGTGCAAAAAAAAAAAAAAACCTACCATACCCTCAAAGTAGAGACGTTGGCACAAGGCATCCACAGCTCTCTCCCCAAACGCCCACCCTGGCACAGCATAGAGAACATCCAAGCAAGAGAAGGTGATGGCTGCCTTGCTTGGACTAGAATTGGCATCGATAAAGAGATCTTCATCAGATCCTTGGGCTTGCTCAGCATCCACCTTATAAACTGAGCCAGCCTTAAAGCATCTCCAAAGATAAGCACAGCGAATGAAAAGATAAGCAGGCCGGGCATTGGTGGCGCACGCCTTTAATCCCAGCACTCGGGAGGCAGAGGCAGGTGGATCTCTGTGAGTTCGAGGCCAGGCTGGACCGACAGCCTCCAAAACAGAGAAACCCTGTCTCGTAAAACCAAAAAAAAAAAAAAAAAAGAAAGAAAGAAAGAAAAGCAGTTCTCAGTGATGCCTACCGGAAGACCCAGGAAGAGACTTTGGTGGCTGAAACCATCAGCACCTAGTGGCAGTAAAGAATAATTGCAGGTTCGAATACATTCACCAACATGAACCTACACAGGAGCAGAGCATCGCAGCTGAGATTCCCTTGGATGAGATTCCCTTGATTGCCTTGATGAGACTGAGTACCTGCCATGCCACACACACTCCCATGACAAAGACTCTTCCTATCACTCTAGGGTGACAACTCTACTGCAGAGATTCTGCCAGAGAAATGTCAACCTTGTACTAGCCCTCGCCTCCCTATCAAGAACCTAAGTTACGATTCAGCCCTTCAAATGACCTGCAGCACAGCAGCACAAATACACAGGACTCCCACAGCAACGCAGAGGGAAATACAGCCTGCGCGAGGGAATGGGGCAGCCATAACTGAACCTGGCAACCCCAGAGTCCATGGGGCGGGGGGAGAGTGAGCCTAGGACGTGCTTTTTGAGTACCATTCAGTGGCAAGAGTCCATGCTTAGAAAAACCAGACAAAGAGGCTCACGGCCTCCAAGTCAGAAATCCTGAGAGCAGAAACAGGAGGGCCCACACTCTATCTACAGGGATTCCAGAGACACATGCTCTGCCCTGGTGGGGTCCCCAGATTATTGAAGGAAGGGTGGCTGGCCTGCCCTTCATCCAGGCAACAAGTCCAAATAGCAGGACTCATCAAAGCCACAAATCCTATGGAGTCTGTCTAGAAGAGTAATAAAGATAATGACCCACTACATGGCAGTTACTGCCCAGTAATAAGCAACTGACCTTCAGTATTTCAGTCCTCATAAAAGTCCTAAAAGACGCACCTCTCCCTGACCACACACACACTTCCCAAGAGCCCAGGCACAGGCTGTTTCTGCTCTCTTTCCACTGCCCCCACCAGCAGTCGACGCTAGTTTTTGAACCTGCTCCTCATAGACGAGGTTTCTCTATGGGTCAGCTTCCTTGCAGGTTTGATAAGTAAGACTGAGTAAGTCCGGGTCCTAGTAGGTGCTCACTAAATGTTTTTATACACACACACCCCACACTCGCCTTCCTGAAGGTGACTGTTAAATCAGTGATAAAACACCTCTCTCCCCAGCCCTTCTTCCCAGCGGTTTAAATGTTGCTGATGTTCGGGCCCACAGCTCCAGTACATTCACGAGGAAGGCAAGTAGCCTAAACCCGCCCTGGGCAGATTTTCCTCGAGGTCACTCCAGCCCGATCCATATTGGTCCAACCCATCCAGAGTTCATCCAATCCTCCAGTCCATCAACCCCAGCAATACTCTTGAATCCCTCACCTGCCGATACATTCCCTAATCCCTGACCAGTCCCCAGCCGACCTGGAGCTTCGTAAGCACAAAGCCTGGGGTCTCCCACATCCCTGGCTCGCATATTCCCAAGCCGGCTGCTCCGGACTCTCCAGAAGAGTGCTGCAACACAGGTCGCCGCCAAACAAGAGCCTGGACGTTCGCCAGAGGCTCGTCGGAGGCCGGCCGGCCGGGCGGGGCTGGGAGAGTTAACCCAGGGCGGAGGAAGAAGCTCCGGCTCCCTATTCCCCTCCCTGTGCCTTCAACACTTGGGGGAGGGGGAGGCAGGAAATGCAAGGGCTTTGGGGTCTAGGACCCCCGTGCCGCCAAGCTGGGAGGCGCGGCGGCGCACCCCAGTAGACCTGCGACTTGGTGCGGTCCACGACAGCGTCCTGGCCAGGTTGCTTTCCAGAAGAGTCACCCAAAGGAGAGGGTGAGAGGCAGAATCCCTCAGGATCCGTCCAACCCCATCAGAGGAGCTCTCTCCGGACATATGCGCGCATCGCTGCACGAACAGCTGGGAAGCTGGAGCCCGAAGAGTGCAAGCTCACTCCAGTAAGAAAGTCCTGGACGCCAACTGAGTCGAGGTCTGAGGGATGGCTCCCGGTGGGTACAGCTTAGCTCATCTGCCTTCCCGACTCGGAGCTGTTCCTAACCCCAGGAGGAGCCCTCCCCGCACAGGGTGCGACTGGGGATGCAGGGAGCGGGGCAGGGCCAGGCGGGTCCCAGAGGCTCAGTCACCTACCTGATGCAGGTCCCGGGACGTTAGACGCCAGAGCACACAGGATCAAGAGGAGACTCGTACCCCGGTGCATGGCCAGAGTCGGGTGGCCGTTGGACGACCCCTAGCTCACGCCTTCGTCTGTCGCGTTTGCGTCCCAGCCGGGGCCCGGGTCCGACTCAGGACATGCCTGGCTTCAAGCAGCTCCTTAAGTCCAGGTCCCGACTCTGGCCGGCGGGCAGCTGCACTCGCTCCTCCGGCAACAAAGACTGCAAGGACCGCCCCCTCGGCCAGCTGCCGAGGCAAAGAAAGAGAGCGAGAAGCGGAGAAAGAAAGAAAGAAAAGGAAGGGGGGGAGCAGGGCGCCCACCCCCGCCCCGCCCGGCGAGCTCCTACCCCCGCCCCCGCCGGCCTCGCCCCGCCCCCCCCCGCCGGGCCTCTGAGCCCTGCGGGCGGGCCACCTCTTGCAAGGCCGAGTAGGGGACCCTGCCGGCAGTCCCCACCCCACCAATTTAGGCTCCAGACCGCCTGCAGGGCTGCGGGCGTCCCCTGGTGGTGGAGCAGGCCCAGACCGCCAGTATCCTCCGAAGTCCCCTAAAGAATCTGGAGTTACTACAGTTTCTGCCTTGTCACTAATCTGTGCTTCAGGAGACGTCCTTGGGTATGCTTCCCAGGACCAGCAGGCCTGCCCTTCTGAAAAAAAGATCCTGGAAACCTCCCAAGGGACCGAGATCGTACAGCGAGGAGGCAAGGTCTGCGGGTTCTAGATTTGGGTTCAAAGTCAACTCAAGAGAGAGGCCTAGGCCCTCCTCGACTGGGCAGCAGTTTTCTACTCAAGGTAGAGTCCCCTGATTCCTTGTCTCCAGACGCTTCTCCGTGTCTAATCCTCTAGAATCAGCACGGGAGTTCAGCAAACAGACTGGAGACAGCGGTGGGCCAAGATTGGACGAACACAATCAAAAGGGACCCGGGGAGCCTGGAGGCCAAGCAACCCTGCCTCATGTTTCCAAAACCAAACAGGCCATCTCAAATGTCTGCCTTCTGTCCTTGGTGGCCCCCATCGTGGTTCTGGGTTCTACATACCCCTTAGCCTATATTTCAAGGAGCAGACTCAGAATACCATACACACACACACACACACACACACACACACACACACACACACACACACACACACACCTTTACTTCCTGCCTTCCCTAAGTCTGGTTTTTCCTTGAGAGTGATGGACTTGTGTGGTCCTCCTTCTCCCCCTCAGCGACTCTGTGTAGCCCCAAGGTCCACACGTGTCAACACAGCTCATTTGCAGTCTCTCGCATACCAAAGAGGGCCCTTCTATCTCTCTGTATTCCAGCTCTCTTGGCCTCCAGGGGGAGCTGCGTCTTCAGCACTGCCTCGGCCATCCCTAGGGCCTGAACTCTGCAGATGACAACCCTGCGGTTCATTCAACTTCTGCACTGGTTTTTTTGTTTGTTGTTTGTTTGTTTGTTTGTTTTTGTTTTCCCCTCAACTCCCTCGTCATCTTCCTTCTCCCTACCCTCTGACTTCTGGCTCCGCCTTCCATCTCTCCCCAGCTCTAACAGCTGCTGGTTATGCTGTTCAGTGGCAGGAAACGCTAAGACTACCCCCCATCATGTGCAAAGGTGTCTATAACTGCCACCCAACAGCTTTCTCCTCCTCTAGACTCGTGGAGCAGGCACTTTGCAGTGATGGAAAACAACGATTTTCCCGGGGCTCTGTGACTCTCTCTCCCTCCTTCTTCCCCAAAGGATTCAGTCCAGCAATCTCCTCTTTCCATGGTTTCTAAGAGCTACCGACTCTCAGTCCAAACATTCTATTCTTGATAAAGACACGATGTACCCGTCTGTGGATGCCCTGCATGTCTGCCCTCCTCTCAAGCTTCTCCAGAGGGGTTGCTTACATTAGTTCTCATCTACCCTAACACAAGCCTCAACACTTGAGATCTCTACTTCAGTAGGCTACTGCATCCTGGACATGCTGTCTTCTTAGCAAGCTGTTCACTCCAGCTAGCAAACACTAGGTTTCGCTGCAGGACCAGGGGATGCATTGGTGAAAAATAGAGGAGTCTGGACTCTGAAGGAGGCCCCACAAACAAGCAGGTAGGGGAATATAGGAATAGAACCAGCCACTGAGAAACACATGGAAGAGAATAAACTTTGTGTAAGCAGAGGTCTGTTTTCTATGAAATGGTCATGGAAAGCTGTCATGACACCATATCCATTTGATCTGTGTACCAGAATGACCACACAGAGCTAACTGCATGAAAGGGAAAAGATGGGCAAAAACTTGTCTAACTCTCGGGCCTAGTTTTTATGCCATTTCTTCCAGAAAGTCTTTACAACTCCCTTTAGGGGGTAGTGGTGGCGCACGCCTCTAGTCCCAGCACTTGGGAGGCAGAGGCAGGAGAATCTCAGTGAGTTCAAGACCAGCCTCGTCTACAAAGTGAGTTCCTGGACAGCCAGGACTGTGACACAGATAAACCCTGTCTCAAAAAACAAAAAAACCTCTAGGGCCTGAGAATACCTTATCATGCCACTTATCACACTAAGCTGCCACTGCCTAGCTAGGGCTCTGTCAGTCTCACCACGGTGAACTACTAAGGCTGGATTTACTACTTGGTCTTTGTGATCCTTACACCCAACATAGAAAAGCCTTTCCTGGCCAACATAACCTTATTTCTTTGGCCAGCATCCAAGGCCAAGTAACACATTAGAGGCTTAGAGGAAATGCCACACTAAAGTTTGTGTTTTCTTTCCTTCTTTCTTATCTTATCTTATGTGTCTAAGTGTTTTCTCTGCATGTATGTCTGTACATCAGTGGGGTACCTGGTACCCACAGAGGCCAGAAGAGTCAGATCCTCAGAAACTGGAGTTATGGATGGTTGCAAGCCACCATGAGAGTACTGGGAATTGAACTTAGGACCTCTGGAAGGACAGTCAGTAGTCTTAACCATTGAACCATCTCTCCAGTCCATAAAGTTTGTATTTTCAAAGTTTTTAGTTGACAGCTGTGTCCTCCTGTTTCCATCTGTGTCCCAGGTCCTAGACTATACTCTGTCCACATCTTGCTGAGTACCTTCATTGTAAACCTCCTTGGGAACTACTCTGGGCACAACGGGATACAAAGAATGAGAAGGCTGAGTCATGCCCTAATGATGAGTGACAATCCAACTGGAAAAGCAAGCTGAGCCAACTCCATGTGTTAGAGGGCAAAACGGATATTTGGAGCAAAGCAAGAGACTTGATACTCTAATACACTCCGATGCGTTGTTCAGACACCGTGTATTTGGTGGATTTTCCATTTAATTCCTTTTGAGTTTAATTTATTGGATGTATTATTATTGTGTGTATGCTGTGTATATATAGGTTGGGGTATTTGAACACTTAGTCCCCAGTTGGTAGTAGTGTTTTTGGGGAGGTTTAGGTAGTGTGGCCTTGCTAGAGGAAGTATACCACTAAGAGTCCATAGTCCAAGAGATCATAATCTCACGCATCTTCCAGTTTGCTAATACTCCCATACTTTCCATCTTCCCCTGCCCTTCTCCACTTCCTGCTTGTGCTGAAGGATGTGATCTCGAAGTTTCCTACTGTGTGTGGGCATCCACATGCAACATGTGAATGTCTGAGGACAACTTTTGTGGATTGGTCCTCTCCTTCTACTGTGGGTTCTGAGAATAGATCTCAGGTTTAGGGGCTTACATAACAAAGCACTTGTACCAGCTGAGCCATTTCCCCAGTCCCTCCCTTCACATGTATTTATTGCTTCATTTATTCTCTTAAGTGATTGCTGTGCTGGCCTTTGAAACAACTCAGTAGAGCTAAAGGATTATCAACAATTGATCAAGATTCAAAAGAAACCTATGTATTCCTCTTCTGTGCAGACATTCGTACACTGCTAAATAGTTAAAAGGTAGAAAATTACAGCGGAGCACTATGTATTTAAAATTACGCATCAGTAAACTGAGTGTGACGGCACATGCTTATGTGATGGTTTGACTGAGAAGAACCTCCCATGAGTTCAGGCATTTTAACAGTTGGTCCTCATTTGCTGGCATTGTTTGGGGATATTTAGGAGCTATGGCCTTGCTGGAAGAATTGTGTCCTTGGGGACAGGTATTGCAATTAAACATGTGACCTCTCAGCTTCCTGCTTCTGCTGCTGTGTCTGCCACTACTGTTATGCTTCCCTGCCCTGATGAACTTGATCCCTCTGGAGTCATAAACCCAATGAAACTCTTCCTTCTGTAAGTTGCATTCATCATGATGTATCAGCACGGCAACGGAAAGGTAACTAAATCAGAAGTTTCTACCAGAGGAGAGGCGGTTGCTGTGAAGAACATGACCATGTTGCTTTTTAGAGAAAGGTGGAAGACTTTGAAATACCAAGCTAGAAAGTGGTTGGATGCTATAAGCAGAGTTTAAAGGGCTATTCCAGTAGAACCCTGGAAGACAGTCGTACAGCGAGCAATGTGAACTCTGGAGTCTCAAGCTCAATGGATTTAGAGAAGAACAATATTAGAAACTGACTTAGAAGCTGTTCCTGTGCAATTGTAACAAGGAATCTGGCAGCCTTCTGCCAATGTCTTGAGAACTTGCCTGAGATTAAGTTAAACAGCAATGGGCTCATTTCTTTGTTGGAGGAAATTTTAAGGCTGTATAATGTTGAGTCTATGGTATGTTTTGTTGCTGTTGTTGACAATGCTTATGCAGGTATGCAATGAGAAAGGGGCAATAGGGCAGAAAGAAATACAAATGTACAGTTTGGAGAGAAAGACTGTGCTGGAAGAGGCTGTGATATTGAAGAGATAAGTATCATTAAGGAGGGGTCTGTTCTCCACCAAAACAAATGGGAGGGTACCTTCAGGCCAAGATACCACCCAGCTAAGCTTCCAAGTTCTGAAAGTCTGGAGTGTCTTCTGCTTCTAGAAAACAACTGAATAAAAAGACTGCTGCTAATGTGATCCAAGTGGGCCAGAGTTCACCCCATGCTTGCAACTGACCTTGGCAGTGTCAACCACATGGTGCTGGCTTTAGAAACATGAAGGACATGAGAGTGAAGGGGTTGTGGACTCTTCCACTGTGGTTTTTGATGTTGCTGAGGCTGGGTGATGTGGTAGGGTCCCTGCATGTGGGTTCTGAGAGGACAGGAGGGGAAGAGCCATCTAAGCCCTCATACAGGGACTTAGAGGTACATGATTCAGAGTTCCCCATGCTTGGTTTTGGTCTTGCTTTGGTTCAGTATTACCTCACTATGCCCTTTTGGGATAGTAATACATAGTTTTGCCACTGTATGTTGGAGGTATGTAATTTGCTTTTT